CTGAATATGGTTATGTACAAGTGCTGGAAAAATGTGATTGACATGGCTTTAAACTGTAATCACCTTTAGTTTTTAACGATGAAGGATGGTAAAACTTGTGCTTGGATGGTGTGACTTCATGAAACTTGGATGGTAAAGATTATAAGATGATGGAATGTGCCTTGTCTGCTTATGGGAACTGTGAACATAAAAATGTTTCATGCATCATATCATTTTCTTGAATGACTTGATGGCACAACAAAGGCACAGCTGTAGGTATTGGAGGTTTGGTCCCGAGCAGACCTACAAGGGTGGCGAAAGGGGGAACAGTCGACCTAGATGGCGCAATAGAGCTTTCTGTGGCCGGGTCGTGACCCTACTTGTAAGCCTTAGCCAAGCCCGACAAGAACTCCACATCTTAGGGTCGTTGAGGTCCATTCTCGAAGAGACCCAGTTTGGGGCCAGCACCAGTTTTGGGTGTTCTTGGAATAATGAAATAAATGTTTTCTGTGCAAATTGTGATGTAGGGAATGGAGTCCTCCGATCGCCACACGACTTGGATATGAAATTGTTAACTCTACACTAAAAGCTGGGCAAGTCGCTAGCAGTAGAGTAAGGGATCCCCATGCATATCATGTGCATAGAAAAGAGAAATTTTAGAGATGTATGATGAGGGTAGGGGTTGCATCCATGCATCATGAGCATCATCAGTAGGCAGTGGATTGTTTTTTACTGTGAAATTGCTCTTGCATGCTAATGATTGTTATCATATTCTATGTATATCTCATGATGATGGTGGAATGTATTAATTGTCATGCCTTGTAGTAATTGATATACTTGTGTTTGAAACGCCACATTCCTTGGGGTATGGCAACTATATGTTAAATCGTGTTTGGAGAACTCAACCCTTGGCTATATTGTCTCTATTTTACTTTCCATGCATTATAGATGGCCAAGAACGGGACGAGAGTGCTGGTCCTTCCCTTTGAGGAAGACATGTGGGTGTTCAATGCCGCGGCCCAACAGAGCATTTTCTGTGGTCGTGCCTACACCCTTCAGGGACGATATAGTGGAGGTTCATGGATTACTGAGTACGTGACTGAAGGTCCTATTGAGATTGTTTTCTCTATTCCTCCTAGAGACACACAGCTACCTTATCCCGCTCTATCCGCCTCACCCTCACCCACTTGTGTTGACCCTCGTAGCCCCAGTGCTAGACCTTCGCCCGCACCTATACCTTTCCTCCACCTCTTCTGAGGAGTTTGATCCTATGGAGGATTATTCTCCTCTCGACTGATTGGGATAGTTTGTCTGTCGTTGTTTCTTAGGGAACTGCTCTTAGGGAGTCAGTCTGTTTCATTCCATGTATCTCTGAACTATGTTAATTTTACACTTTAATTATGTCATTTTACCTTATCAGGTTGTAGTACTCTGAGATTGTTACTAACTATTTCCTTATTTATTGCATGAAGTTATTCAGTTATGATGGAGTATTGTTGTTGTTCTACTTTGGTTTTGTTATTATATTTTAAGGCCATAAACCTCTAAGCAGAAATGTGATATGCTAGATGTGAGTTCAAAGAATGTGTTTATCTTTCCGCTTCTTCTATTTTTTTTTTTTTTTTAAATCTCTCTATTTTTAGGCGTCACAAAAAACAACATCATGACTAATTATATTCTTAGTGATATATAACTACTAGGCTGTTGATTATTCACTAATACTAGAAAAGATACACTTTTTTCTATTATCGTCAACTTTAATCTCATTTGGTCTTGAATATGTGCATAAGTGATATAACAAAAAATTCTAAAATGTTCCACACTTGCTCTTCTTTCACTCCACTCTTCAGTCTTCTCATGTGTTATGTCTTTAACAACAAATGTAAGACTTCTATTTAGAATGTGTATACCCTAATAGACAACTCTAGGCCAAAAATTTAGCCTAAAATTAAATAAACAAAAGTTGAAAAAGTTCATATAAAAAGAAACACAGGAAGAGATATGCACTCACTTTTCAATTAAGAAAATTCTAAATTGTGCTCACACTCAGGAATATTCGTGTTATTTCAAGTCATAGGCACGTGATATTAATATAGCAATTGACTTTTTGCTATAAATGGCATGGGGAATAAGGTATTCAGATCCAATTCAAATAACTTTTAAAGCAGTAAATCGATTAATTTATTTTTTATTCATCACAAATCAATTATTATTTTCTTATTTTTTAAATTAAGTCAAATTGAATCGTACCTACCTTTATATTTAATGCAATTGACCATCACAACCAATATATAAGAAAAATGAAATGAAAACAACTATATAGTTACAATAAATGGTTAAAATGCAAGAAAAGTATAAGCAATTAAAGAACATATAAGTATGCATTTAAATTTTTATACATTAACTTGTTTTACAAACAATAATTAATAATATTTAAGATTAATTTTGACAATAATTAATAGTAATTATAATATATTTCCACGCTATATATTTAAATTTGAAATACATTATAAACTAAATTTATTTCAAATAACAATAAAAAAATTAGTGTGTAGTTTTAGATATTAAATTCATAATTACTTCTTCCTCTAATAACGTTTTTTCTATAATAATTTTTATAATATGAAAACCATTCACCTAATAAATCTATTATAACTAATAAATACAACATCTATTTAATAGTATTTTTTAAGTTTATGATTTACTATATTTAATAATACATCTTTTAATATCAAGGTACATTCAATCATATTTATAAAAATTTAAATAATCTAACATTATATTAACACATATTTATGTTTGATTACTTAAAAATGTATAATTAATGCATATATTAATTTAAAGTAACTCTTTTATTCACTTAAAATCACAACTAAACTTAAAAGTGAGAAATAAGTTATCATATTTATTTTTTGAAATTATACATATTTTAAAGATTTCATTTTAAATCCTGTTATTTTAAAATATGCTTATAAACAAAACTTATTTTAAATAATAATAAACCTACATATATTTCTAGATATTGATTTGTTTAAAATTATTTTTTTATAAATTTTAGTAATATAAAATTCATACAGATAATAGATACATTGTAATTAATTAATATGATGTTTAATTAATGGGTGGGGATTAAATTTTTAAAATTAATTATTGTGAAAATTATTTCGCTTATAATTTTTAATTTCAGTAATTAAACAGTATGATGTTGACACAGTAATCATGTATGCTAGTAATACTACCTTTTAAATGGACTGACCGATGTAGATATATATTTTTACAGTCAATATTTAATAATATTTTAAAAAAATATATACTTTGTATTTAAATAAAGTTACTTGTACATCTGTAGAGAAAAAATATTAAATATTCAAATAAAAACTTTTGCTGTCTGTCTATGATAACTTTATTTGAATTGAAAATATTTTTTTTAGCAAATGATATACGTAATCAAGAAAAGCAATTAATGATTTATAATTTTTTTGAATTTTTATTTCACTTAAAAATACTTTAATTTAATAATTGAATTAATAAAATTCAATATTTATAGAGTTATTAAATGTAATAATTAAAATAAAAATTATTTTATAATAATTTATCATTATTTTAATTATTACTAAATTAATTTGATTTTACATGTAAAATTTTTTAAACATTCAATACTAAACTGTAGACAATTTTACTTATTTATAAATAGATAGATAAATTTTGAACTTAATTAGAAACATTTATTTTGAATTGGTAAAATATATTTTAGTTTAATTAATATTTATAAAATTTTAATTTTTTTTACTCGATTTAACTTTCATGCATAGTGAGAATATATAAAAATAATTTTATTTATAACAACGAATAACAAATTTTGTTATGAAAATATAATTTTATTGTTAAATAATTTTTATAAATATATTTAATAAAGAATACATTTTATAATAAGTGCTATAAAAATTTAAAATTTAAATATTTTTTAAAATATATTTGATTAATAAATTTTACATTTAATTATAATTTATTGGTAGGATAAATATTTTATTACAGTAAAATATAAATTATTTTATTATAAATAATATTTTATTATTATATTTTAAATAATTATAATGTAATATTATCTTTACATATATCATAATAATATGGAGTATAATTGATACCTAACATTCTAATAAAAACATATTCGAAATGGTTTAAAAAGAGAAAATGCAAACAAACTCATGAGAGGTGCACCAAAATCTTGTTGCCTCGTCCTTTTAGCCCTTTGCTTACTCTTTTAAGTCAAAAGTCCACTTCATTTCATCACCATCGTTGATCAATTAAACATAAAAAACGATGCCAAAAGAACAGCATAGATTTGATCGACAATTTTGGAGCGTAGAACAAGTAAAGACGGCAAAAGCTTTTCTTATCCTCGTGGCCTTCAACTCCGATTATTGTTTCTTTGCTTCAAACTAATTTTGAGAAAACACGGGTGATTCCGTTAATATACTTCTCCTCGTTTAAAAATTTTAAATAGAAATAATACTAGTTTGTTACTTTAATTTTTAATACTAATTTTTCGGTGAAGAAAATTAAATCTATTATATTTTCTTTATAAAGAGGAGAAAAGCAAAAAGACTACTTTAAATCAATTTTTAAGAATTTGTTTGGAAGTGAATCATTTAGAAACTTTTATATTATTTTAAAATTTAAAAGTGAAAGTTGTTATTTAACTTTTTATATTTTTTAAATACTTGTGTTTATATTTATGAAAATATTTAAGTTATTCTATTTCTTAAATTTATAGTTATTAATATATATTAGATATAATCATTTATTAAAAAATAAAATAATACCTGTGAGCTGCATAAACTAATAAACTAGTTAGGTCTTTTTAGAAATGAAAACGAATGAAAAATAAACGTTAGATTTTTGATGCGAAAATGAATGGCATTGGTTAAGCGAGTGCTGACAGTGCAACCATAATAATAATAGTGATATTATTGTATGATATATGAGAAAAGGCAAAAGGAGGGGGAGAAGAAGAGAGAGTATTGGGATTTGGGTTGGGGGGTTAAGAGAGAGACAGGGAGTGGAGAGTATAATTCTCACAATCAAGTAAAGATTAGCAGGGAATCAACAATGGAGTGTAGTACTCATCAACCTAGTTAGTGGTCTCAGTCACACTGTAAAATTTACCTGGTTATTATCTCTTTTTTATTTTCTCTCAATGTATGCGTACGCATATGCAATTGCAATTGCAAAGCATTTCCGATCCAGAGGAAGAGAGCCTTTGTGACAGCTGTATCCACCGAAGAAAACCCAATCGAGAGAGATAGATTGTTGATTTTTGATTTGTGGTGGCAAGATCTCTCTGTGCAAACTTAGGGTTTTTGTTTGTGTGTGTGGCATGGCAACTGTTTCGAGTTCTAGCTGGCGCGAGGGCATGTCTTCGGACAACATAAAGGGTCTGTGCCTTGCTCTCTCATCTAGCTTCTTCATCGGAGCCAGCTTCATTGTCAAAAAGAAGGGCTTAAAGAAGGCCGGTGCTAGTGGAATCAGGGCTGGTATCACTCATTGTTCTCCTTTTCCCTCAAATCTCGCTCTTAAGGCATCGCGATTTGATTTCATTTCGGTTTTCGTTTCTTATAACTTGTTTTTGAACTAGTGCTTTTTGTCATGCTTCACTGATCTCTGCCTCTGAAGTTTTTGTTGACTTCTCACTCTCTTTTCTGTTGAGTTCATTTTTCATGTTTGGTTTAGTGGATGAGATGGATTGCCTTCAATTTTGTTAGGATCTGGAGCTTTTCTACTTTTGTTTGTTAACTAAGTTCAACTCACTGAAATCTCAAGTTTAAACTCCATGCGTTGCATTGCCTGGTTTTCTATACGTTCTCGTCACATTTTACAACACGACTAGAAGGCGAATAGATTATGTACTGTCTTGAAAAATATCTTCTGCGGAAACACTTTTATCTTCTCAATCTCATCGATTTGCATGGAACTTTTTGGTGATTTCAGCGATGACTTTATTGTGCTCCTTGGTATGGAGTAACGAGCGATCTAGGTTATTTTTAACGTTGTCTTTATTGTCACACAGAATTGGTGTTTGACGTGACCTGATCCTGGTTTTAATGTTTAAAATTGCGGTGAAGAAACTGTGTACAAGTTAAATGTTTTTATGTTGTTGCTAGTTGCCACTCATCAGCATGGACACCTTTTAGTTTTCTCCTGTAGAGTTTAGATACATTACATTCATTATGTTAAAATGGAATGGATGCATGTCGATTCTATTGACTCAGCCTCAGCTAGTATATATTAATTAATCTACAAAATAGTCGTTTCCTTGTATTTCTGGCATTTGCTTTACCTGCCAGGATGGATGTCATGGAAGTTAGTGCACTTATATTATAATGCTGTCAATAGTTTCTATTTTTTGTTCATTGTCTCCTTGATGGGTCACATGCAATGGTGACTGATTTTTCAAAGTTATCTTTGACAGGTAGTGGAGGTTATTCTTACTTGTATGAGCCGCTTTGGTGGGTGGGAATGATAACAAGTGAGTTATAAATGATTCTGTTTGGTTTTGAAATGATAAGCGAATTGAATGATGGCATTGCTTTTAGTTTACAATTACCGCTGCCAATGCTCATTGATTGACTGAAATTTATGAATTATTTTGTTGATTTTTCCTTTCCCAAGTGTATCCCTGGAGCTCTTTTTTTATTCCTTTCTAGTTGTCTTATGAGTGCAGCTGAAAGTACTGTAGTTACTAGACTTGGATAGATTGAGTTTTATGCAGAAGGTTTCCGAAGAGGGGCTTTCTTTCAAATGTTTTCCCCTTCATCCCTGTTTGGTTTACAAACTATCTGCAAAAAGTTAAAAAGTAAAGTTGCTATAACCTGTAGTGGTACCTTCCATCTAATCCGCCTTACTTTTTTTTTTGGCTCCATATATTAATGGAATATTTCTGCATGGACCTAAGGCCATTTAAATATACTAACAAATTTCTGCGTACAATTGATCAAAATGAGTTGCCTGTAACTTAAGTTAACATTAAGTGGATTAAAATTTCTATCTAACAAATTTGTGATTTGGACAGTGATTGTCGGAGAGATTGCCAATTTTGCAGCTTATGCATTTGCTCCAGCTATATTGGTCACCCCTCTTGGTGCTCTTAGCATTATTATCAGGCATGATAAAAATTTAGCTACAAATTGATGATTGACTCTTTGTAAATTCTGATTCGTGATGTTTCCTTGCAGTGCTGCTCTTGCTCATATTATTTTACGGGAGAGGTTACATATATTTGGAATTCTTGGTTGTGTTTTGTGTGTTGTGGGATCCACAACAATTGTTCTGCATGCACCTCAAGAACGTGAAATTGAATCAGTGATAGAAGTGTGGGATCTTGCGATGGAGCCAGGTACCCATGATCCTGCCTTAAATATCACTCTATTTACTCAATATATCATATTGGAATTGTGGACTATTAACCAAGAACATAATCTTTCTTTTGCAGCATTTGTCTTCTATGCAGCTTTGGTTATAACAGCTACCTTTGTCCTTATCTTCCACTTCATTCCTCTATATGGCCAGACACACATAATGGTTTATATTGGTGTTTGTTCCCTTGTAGGTTCTCTAACGGTACGTCTTAGTATGTGGTTGTTCTATGACTCTCTACCAGTAATTGTTCTCCCCTTGTTATTTTTTTCCCCTATATTTATAATGTATGATTTTCCTTTGACAGGTTATGAGTGTTAAGGCTCTTGGAATTGCCATAAAGTTAACTCTGTCTGGGATGAATCAGCTAATTTACCCTCAAACTTGGGCATTCACTCTAGTTGTAACTGCTTGTGTTCTTACCCAAATGAATTATTTAAATAAGGTATGATAGTTTTTCTTATTAGTTCCTGAACTATATTTTTATGTGATGTTCAATCATGTACTTCCTTTTGTCAACACTAAACAAGTCTTCTTGTTTACCTCTTTTGGTCAACAATTATCATGTACATGGAAATGTTTTGATTGAATTTCTATTATACCATTCAGTGAAATCCGTGGAAATATATGTTTATACTTTTTGGGAATGCTTTTTGGTTTTTGAATATTTTACCGTGTAATTTTTTCTTGATTGTGTTGATAAGAATATAAAATTGTCCAAGTAGTAATTTATCTTCACATCTGGCTTATGTTTCTTGAACCATAAGTCTTTTCTTGTGGAAATTTTTTGACTTTAAACATATTAGCATTGCATATGGCCTTGTGATCTTTAAGTAAACTATTGTGATTGATTGAGAATTTCATACCTTTGTTTAAAGAAGAACTAATTTGTCATATCCACTGTTAATGAATAAATAGTGTTGAATATGTAAAATAGGGAAAATGTAAATTTTTTTTTTCAATGATAGAAGGAAGCCCCATAAACTATTATAGAAAAATTGACAGCCAAATGAGGATGAAGCTCAACAAGGGAGACAAGAAATTTGACTCTCGCTTTTCAATTTAACTGATAAATCCTCTTCTTGTATATTAATGCTTTTGGGAAAACCCTTAAACTAAGTTTCTAAGTTTCACCTATGTGGCATGCAGACTGTTGGAAATCCATGGAAATTCTAAATCTTCCTTCATTTTGAACTGGAGCCACATATGTGCAGGTTAAATAGTTTTGGCCTAACACACAGAAACTGTGACTTTGTATGGAGAATACAACATGTGTCTAACCTAGTTCATAAGAAATATAATAAAAATGAGTGGATGATCATGAGATAACTTTTATGAGAAAAAAAAAATATAAGGAAATTTTTTGTTGGTAAAAAATTAAAGCAAGGAAAACATTACTGAAGAGTAGAAATAATGAATACCTTATCCATTACTCATTGTGTTTGAAGAAATTTTACTGTCTTGCTGTGGTACGTCTGCTATAAGAATATATTTTTCCTTCAAAACCACATGTTTTGCATTATTATTTAGGAAAGAGAACAGCAATCTTTTAGTCCATATTTTTCTTGAATCAGTAAAGTAGTGTTTGAAATTGATGTGTTAGTCTATATTGAAATGTCTCACAGGTGAATAATAAATAAGAATATCTGAGAAAGCAAGTGTTATGGGTTTTATAATTCAAATCTAAACAGGTTATGTAGCTGAATGGTTTATTATGAGAGCAAGTTCATTTTCTCTATAGCTTTAAATTGAAATTTGTAGAATTGAGATGAAACTATGTGCAGTTTCCCACTGCTGGATGTTGTTTTGGGAATGATTCTTCTACCTACTAATATTATGCAATTGCTTTTACATATCACCTTTTGTTTTTGTGTTTGATGGCTAGTTCTTTCTGCTTTATAATTAATGTTTTCATTTCTGCAATCAGGCACTGGATACTTTTAATACTGCAGTGGTGTCTCCCATATATTATGTTATGTTCACAACACTAACCATTGTGGCTAGCGTTATTATGTTTAAGGTATGTTTTGTTGCTAACTATATAGTTGGACACTGTTTCATTGCTTTACTTTTAAGATTCTATATATTGTGTTAAAGTAATCATGATTCAATGTATACTGTATAATCTGTGTTTTTTCTAAAGCCTCTTGGCCAACGATTGCATTTAAAGCTTAAATTATCTTTATAAACTGTATTATTGTTTGTTTAATTTCTGCTTGCCTTTATTTTAACATTAAGATAGAAAGCAATAGTTAAGAAAGATATGAATACATTAAGTTCAGATTTAAGATTTCTTTTGTGGGTTTACCTGTTGCTTCAAATTGCTTTATTAATTGCTCCATGTAAGTTGGAGATCTTCCGGCCTTCTGATTGTTGAGATTTATGCTAGAATTTTGTTAGACTCTATTTGGTCTTGTTAATTTGTTTAGGTTCAGGCATGTGCAAAGAAGTTCGTTAGAAGTTCCAGTAAGGAGAATAGATCAAATGGTGAGAAGTCCAATTGCTAGAGATAGAGGGAGACCAAGAAAAACTATATGAAAAACCTAAGAAGGATTTAGAGGTCATTAATTTGTTTATAGACATGATTTATGATAAGGGATTATGATGTCATTTGATTCATGTAGCTAATCTCATTCAGTGGAAAAAGGATCGGCTGTTGTTGACTTGTGAGCCTGTTAAGGTGATGCCTAATGTTTGGTGTTGCCACAAGATCCTCACCTCAATGATACTTGCATGCTGATTGTTGCCTATTACTTAGTCAACTTAATTTTATTTGCCAATCAAAAATTTTTTGGGCTTTGTTAATCAAAAATTTTTTGGGCTTTGTTTGGAAGTTTGAAGGGAGAGGGAAGAAAAGGATTTGAAGGGTAATGGAGGGTTAATACAAAATCTCCCCAATTTGGAGGAACTTAAAAATATAGGATTAGGAGGGTTTATAAACCCTCCCCTTCTCATCTAAAAACTCTCAGAGGATAATCGTAACATAAGTTTTTGCCTTTCTTCTATAAACTAACTCCCAAACAGAGCCTTAAGGTATGTTTAGGAGTGAAGTTATGGAAGGAGGGGGGGTTGGAGTGGACATTTTTTTATTTTAAAATTAATATAGTTATATAATAATTATAAAAATAAATTAAAAAATTAGGATATTAAGTTTTGTGTTCATGTATCATTTTATTTCTTTTATTTTAAGCAATGAACAAATTAGATAATATTTATTGGAAATGAAGTGAGAGATGAGTGCTGTGAATGAAGGACTGTCTACCGAAGCATTTCACCTAGAAGAATACATCCAATAGGGTGTGAAACCTTGTTTGTTCTTTCCCTTAAGTGTACATGTGAAATCTTCTGTTACACAAATAAGATTTGGTCTTTATTTTCATCACTTTAATCATCAATGTCTGTTCACTGTTTGCCATATTTTGAAGGTTGACATTTGATTGAGAATTGAATTTGATATCAGGACTGGGATAGACAAAGTCCAACGCAAGTTATCACTGAAATATGTGGGTTTGTGACCATACTGTCAGGAACTTTTCTTCTTCACAAAACAAAGGATATGACTGATGGTATGATCTAATGATCCAACTACAGCAATTTGCTTTAGAATATGCATTTACATGCTTTTGCTCACGTGCACTTCCTTGAGTAAGGTCTTGAAGTCTTCAAACTTGATTTATCAATATTATCTTCCTGTGCAGGTTTACAAACTTCTTTATCTATTAGACTTCCTAAGCATTCAGAAGAGGATGGTTTTGATGACGGTGAAGGCATTCCTCTTAGACGGCAAGAATCCATGAGATCGCCATGATGTATTCTTTGTGTGACATCTTGCATATCTGAACAAGCTGGAGGCGCTGGGGAGGGACTTTGCCAAGGTCATTGTGTATTTTATTTTACTGATTATTTCCTCCCCACCATATTTTTTTCCTGGTACAGTTGGAGTCGAAGGATGAGAGTGTCCTATCACTGTTCTTTTGGCCTCCTGATGATTATGCTTTCTGATCTTGCATTGTATACTCCACTACACTCCATACCGAAGACACAGGCCAATGTAATTTTCTGCACACTGATTATATATAGTGTACCTCAGTTAAATGAAAGTTTCATCATCAAATTTTGAACTGGACAGCGTAGAATTGTTATTATCAGTGACTGCCATTTGAATTGGAGCTGACCTTGATGCCTATCGGATCAAAATATGGAAATCAGTATTTGTAGATTTCAGGTGAAATGCATCGATGGATTGTTTGAAATTTTAGTTTTTATATAGATTTAGTACTACATTATCCCTGGAGTGGTTCTTCTTGCCTCACTTCCTTTATAGATTAACAAAATCCGTAGGCCCTTGGCTTGTTTTTCGTCACTTAAAATATTTTTGCAATCATAGCCTTACGCTGGGGATGAGGGAGCCTTATAACTTGAAATCCTTTGGGGGAGTTGGTTGGGGTAAACTTATAAAATGCTTACATGGAAGGGGAAGTTTTGGCTGGAGGGTTAGGTTAAAATCTGAGAGTCTATGCTAAATTCAAAATAATTTATTTCCATTGTATAACTTCTCATGACCTGGATATGTCGTCGGGGTTCTATAGGATTTGGGGTTAGAGCATGTGAAATCTCACTAACGATAATTGTTTCATCTCTAAAAGCATATAAAAATGTTGAAAATTATTGTTGAGTTCTTCTAACGTTAATGATGATTAAACCTTTCGGATTATACAGAACTCAACATAAACCTGGATGCAACAGGGAAATGTAATAAATGATGACGATCAAAGAAAAAGAAAAGGTTGGTTGAATTGAAAAAAGAAAGGGGAAATAAAAAACGAAAAATTGTGTTGAAAAATATTTAAATTTGTGAAATTTTTTATTTTTCCTGTACAATTGACGTCATGAATCATTATGAAACTTAGATTTTGAAACTTATAATCTATGTTAAGACAATTAAAATTTCATCTTGCTATCTAATTTTTTTTCCATAAATTAAAATTGACAATGAATTATCTTGATTGTAGAGTAGTTTTACCAAAGCTTATGATGTTACAGTTGGGTTTATTCTTTTATATTATTCTGCTATTTAATAGTGATAATTTTAGAACAAGTTTATATTAGAAGTGGTTGAATATCATTGGTCGTTCACTTAAACAGGCCTTCAATTTCCTTCAATAAAAATGCTATTAAATTGTCTTGAAAATATGGTTTCTCACATTTGTGGTAGTAACCATCTTAACTAAAATGTTAATAATATCTAGACTAAAAAAACATGTTAAGATCAATTTATGCTTTTTTTTCCCTAAGAGAGGGAGGAAGGTGGTGATTGGAGGAGGATAGGAGTGCGATTTTTACTATTAATTTATTCTAAAGAAGTGTGATGAAATTATTAACATTGAATGCTAACGTTATTTACCAACTAGGATACATACATGGAGCTCTTAAACTATGGTTAAAAACTTTGAGATTTAAGAAATTACACAAATCAAATTATTTAGAGGGAGAAATAATGAAATTTTTTCTCATTTTTTTTATAAACAATGTCATTTAAGAATTATATGTAAGTGATATAAATAATAAATTAATAACATTATATGCATACTTAACATTATTTTTATCAATGTCTTTATTTTGTTTTATTGATGAATTAGTTTAAATACTTACTTTTAAAAATTAAAACAACGAAAAAAACATTTTAACTAATTAAATTATACATAAATTCTAACATTATTGTATTAAATCTACCACAGTATTTCAAATATTAGTTTTATTAAAGTCACATACAATTTGTGTAATTTTTGTGAATTTGTTTTTGTACAAAATAGTTTTGTTATTCTTTTCTTAGCTACTTGCGTTGTTCATTAACGTTTTGATTCTTAATTAGTCGAATTTGAATTCCGATTAGCGTAGTCTTTATAATGCACTATATGATGCACGAAAGCAGAGAAAAGTTTAGTGTTGATTAATGTAAAACAATATATAAAAAAAATATCTACAATAATGTAAACCTAAATATTTTTACAAAATATTATATTTATTTTTAAATATATTTTTGTCTCTAAAAAAGACATAATTTTTTTTATTTTAATCTCCATATTTTTTTCTATTTTAATTCTTATATTATGATACTTTAAAAATAAAAATTTAATAAACTTATATACAAAACACACACAAATATAGAATTTATTAAATGAGAATATTTTTGAAATTGAGAGTAAAATGGATAAATTTTAATCATTAACTTTATCAATAAATGATTAAAATTAATCGTAGAAAAATAGAAAAAGAAACCCTTGTTGTTGGGGGAATATAGGAAGCGAAACAGAGTAAGGAGATGAAGTCAAAGGTTGGGAAGGGTGTTGCGATTGGTTTGTCCCAGTAAATAGTAATGGAAGGGAACTCCAAAGTGAAGGTAGCTGGTATTCTATGGTTGGAAGGTTTTAGAGAGGCGTGTTGTCTTCATCGCGTTGTTATTCTGTGTACGAGGTGAATCACCCTCTCATCTTCCATCTATCCAATTCATTCCCCTTCTCTTCTCAATTCTCATATTCTTCTTTCCTATCGCAGGTCGAGGAGGCTTTTGGTGCGAACAGGCCAGTGTTTCCTCTTAAATGGTTTCATTTTCTTAGGAAGGTATTTTTTATGCCACCGTTTTCAATAATTTTCCACCAGTGTTCTCCGCATATATTATTCATTGCTAGAAAACCATTTTCTGTTTTTCATTCACTTCTTAACCTAGTTGTTTTCTATAATGAAGTAATGAAACTAGCTTCAATTTATTTTAACGTAATGAATGATAATTTGTGGAATAGAATTGAACTATGTATATTTTTTACATGATGACATTTTGAAGATGACTGCAAGAGATATCTGATTGACAATTATTGGTTGATTGATACCTGCATATTTTTGTCATCCATGGATTGTCCTGCACGAGTCTTGAATCCAAAACCTACCTGTTTAATAATTTGAACATGTTTAAATTTTTGTGCAGTATATTCGTCCTAAACTCGGTTGTGATCCCGGCATTGTGGTGGATATTACCTGATGAATGCTCACAGTTTGTTTCTCATAAACAGTGTGACTTAAGGGGAACTTTGAAATTTTATTCTTTCTTACGTCTTGCACTCATTCAGCTCTTTTATGTAAGTATGAAGTACACTTTTCTTAATGTGCACATTGACCATAAAATATACTTTGTTGCTTTCTCTTATCCTTCCTTGCTCTCCAAGTTGGTTTTGTGTGCCTTTAAAACATGCATGGATTTTCTGTAATTATATATACTTAGAATCTTTTGATTATCCTGAGCTAATGTCACTTTGGCAAGGAAAATGTGATCATGTACTTTCCGCATTTGAACTTTTCGATTTTTCAGTTATCTGTATAATTCTCTAAAACAAAGAAATACAATTCCATAAAACAATCAAAATATGTTTCCTTAAATCAGAGTTTCGCCAATAAATTGCTCTTCATGCTTTGTGTCAAGTTAAATGGCCTCTTTGACCTGAACATTGACTTGGAAACACATTGAAACCATAAAATATCTTTCTTGAATCAGAGTTTCACCAATAAATTGCTCTTCATGCTTTGTGTCAAGTTAAATGGCCTCTTTGACCCAAACATTGATTTAGAAGCGCATTGAAGGTCTGCTAGAAATATGAAGCTTCAAAAGCAAGTGTTTGGCAAGCTAGTTGCATACTTGCTCAGAGATTTTTTCCTCATTTTCATTGATTAGATGCATTTTAGATATCTTTCTTTATCTAGTTTGCATGAAAAAAAGCTCCAAAGTTGAATGTGTTTTACCAATTAATCTTGTGATTGTCCTTGTTTTTCCCTGCAGGTGCTATGGTTTTACCCATTATATGTGTTTAGCATAGTTCTAAGCACCATCTGGTAATAGTTTCTTTTTAATCGTCTTTCCCTTATCTTTATTTTCGTGTTGTATGTATTGGGTCGTTCTTTATTGTTCATGTTCATTGTCAAGTTATTTCATATCTGTACGTGTCATCTATGCTAAGTAATGAAATTTCTTAAATCGGGTAAAGTAAGTGAAGTGCTTTTAAGAGGATTAAATATTCTCCACAAGATCATAAGAAAACCAAAATGTAGAAATATTTTAGCCATCCAGTCCCATTCTATATCAATGTAAACAATCCTACCCAAATAATAAGGCAGGTGTAGGACATGTTGATAACCAGTACCATTAAGCACAGTAGAAGTCCCTTTTCTAGCTTCATTATCTTGGTGAAGAAGAAAGATGGTTCTTGAAAATGTGTGGATTGTAGAATGCTAAATAAAGTGACTACTATTGATTAGTATCACATACCTATCATCAATGAACAGTTGGATGAGTTGGACAGACCCAGTATTATTCCATAATGATCTTTGGTCAGGTTTCCACCAGATAAGAGTCTAGGAAGAAGACACTCATAAAACATTTTTGAAGCTATTGATGGGCATTATGATATGAATGCTCCATCCACATCAGCAGATTGCAGTGCCCTGTCAACCTGCTACTATAATCCATTTCAAATCCTAGCTCATGTGGGAGAAGTGGCCTGTGAATTACTATTACCCGCAAAAGCATGCATTCATCAAGTTTCCCACATTTCGCAACTTAATCGCCATTGAGGAGCATCCAGTGGAGTTTGAATTGCCATATAGCTTGGATGTTGACAAACACATGCTGTCAAGCCTGAGACCATCATGGCTTCATGTGAGACCAGTGTCCCTGGAAAGATTGTTCCTGAATCCCCGATCCTTTGTTAATCTGAACCAGTACAAGAGGTTGCTCCGGAAGAGGAGAGTGGCATCATAAGCCAATTCCCATACTTCTGCCTTGAGGTCAAAATAGTTTTTAATAGTGGCCTGCAATGGAAATGAGGATCCAAATGCTAAGGCTTTACAGGTTTATTTTGTAGGTCCAAACCAAATTAGCTAGAGCTCTGAAAGTGTGTGGGTGCGGAAGTGAATTAGTTAGTTAGTGGAAAGAAGAAATCAATCTATTATAAGAAGGGGCAATCACAGAGAAGGGAGGAGGTCATTTTTCTGTTTTGGAGGCTGAAAGTTTGGGGCTAAGGTGGTTTCTCTATAGCTGGGAGTTCTTGCTATTATATTTTACATTTGTGTTCCTACTTCTTACTGAATTTAATAGTCTCCCTTTGAAAGATAGGATTATCAGAATTGCTAACAATACGTTTCTAGGTACAATGACATTGCCAAGTTTGGGTATGCTGCAATGGGAAGATCTAAGTTTACTGTAGAGAAAGACTCAAGCCAAAACAACCCACCAAATGTACAAAATGCTTATCATGTAAAAAGACCATCCGGCTTGGGAGGGTAAAGTTCTAATTATTAGTTACTTCATACTGCTGTATTTTTTTCTCATTTTCTAAATAAATACTATTAATTCTTAGTGGGTAAATCAGCTAAAAGGTTCAGCTACTGTGTTTGCTTAAGTCAGGGTCATGATTGGAATAAGCGAGCAGGTGTACTCGATACTCCTTTTGAGTGTTTTCTTTCTTGAGGTAATAAAATCGTTATGATCTGAGTTTCCATATTATTAATATATATGCCTTGATAAGGAGTGAAATTGATTTTGCTTACCAGTTAGATAACAAGCAATTTCTGACGTTATATGCACTATGCAGGTCTATGCAACAGGATTCATACCATTCATAGGGAAGGTGCTCAACTTTTTACTCCTTTCCTGGATGTATGCATATTACTGCTTCGAGTATGTGGCCCATAACTCCATATACACCTTTTGCTTGATATCCTCCTTTAACAGTTGAGTGCATGATTAAGAATATGCTTTTTTATTAGGTACAAATGGAATTTCAACGAAGTGGCTCTTGACAGAAGGCTGGACTACTTTGAATCTTACTGGCCATTTTTTGCTGGGTTCGGTAAGTTTTTTTATTAATGTACTTAACATTAACTCTATTAAGTTACCAGTTTGTTTAGTTAGAGAAAAATCATATATTTAGATCATATGGATTTTGTTTGAAATGTTATTATGGTTGCTTATGATGAGATAAAACAACTCTTAGTACTAACCTTAGGAGGAAGAGCACTTCCTTTTTTGTTTGTGTATATTTTCTAGTAAGAGATAAAACATGGATTGGTCTCTAGCACGTGTAAGAGACAAAATTATGGGTTGTTAGTGGAAGGATAACTGAGGGAATATGGATCAAGATTGAGGATTTTCAACTTCATGCCGTGTGAAGATATAAAGCAGAATGCCATATGATTCCCCGTGCTCCATTGCCTTCTTGGGCTGTTGAAGTTTAAAGTTCATTTTATAATTCTATTTTCTCCTTGAAGAACTTTGAATTGTATATTATACATAATATTTTATCCTTTGATTCACTATTTGTTTGAGATTTCTAAGTAATTTATGTGCATACAGGAAGCCCTTGCGTTTTGGCCATATTCTTTTTCTCTCCCCTTGTTAGTTATGGGATTATGGCTATACTTTTTCCACTGGTAAGTGTTACCACGTTGTTTGTTTCCCTTCCATTTCTTCTTTCTTCCTTCCACATTGGATTTGAATTTTTTATGCAATTTTTGTATTTCCTTTTGTTATTCAAAACTAAAACATCGTGTTATGTGGTCATGAATCAATATGATAATAAACTAGTATTGTATATTTCAGTTTGTTCTAACCGCAACTGGGTCAGAGGCTGAGCAAGAAATATCCTTTGAAAAACACAAATGGAGAGCTGCAGGAGTGGAAAGGCTTCCGATATTCTATGTTGCAGACAATGTGTCGTAAGCTCTTTCATTGCTTATCACTTTGCTTTAGATAGACGTTGCATTACTAAACTTAGCTACTAGGCAATTACCCCGAAAGGGCTCTTCATGGACTTCTAATAATGACGAATGGACTTGAACGTAGGGAGTTATCACTGGTGGATCTTGGTTATTATAATTTTAACCACATGCTTTGATTGGTGTTTATGTAGGATGTGGATGTTATCTCTTTTACCTCGGGAGAAAGGGAACCAGGTGCAAGACAGAAAAGCACAATAGGATTGGTGTAGTCAATTATTCTGGCATAAATGATGACTGGTAAGAGCATAAACTGTGATTTTATTTTGTATGCAGATATATTATCAGCATATATGGAACTCCCTACCACCACCCCTCCCCTTTCACCTCTACTGAAAGTTGATTATCAGCATAATGTGTCTCCTGTTTAATGCTGTAGGATAAATTATATGTAACAAGCTTATGTGGTGGACTGCACACTTACACGACTTCAGAATATGCAGAAGGTCACAGCTACTAACCGCTGCCAGACCCAAAATCACCAAAGTGGACCACGTTACAGAAAAAATTTACTGTGTTGGGTCGGCCCCAACTTGAGTTTTCATTTTAGGATATGTTTGGGAGTTGAATTTTAAAGAAAAAAAAGTCATTTTTTTTAAAAATTAGAAGTTATATAATGTTTATAAAAATAAATAAAAGATTAATATACTAATTTTATATTAATCTATTGTTTATTTTTTATTTTAAAAAATTCTCTCATCTTTTTCTTTTTTAAATTGAACTCTCAAACGTATCCTTAAACATCTTGGTTGTAGTCGTTCCACCACCAGCCGTAATAGTATGCTGAATCTAGTGTACATGCTACTGAACTCTTTCTACGTACTAATAATCGTGGTCAATATACTATATGTACAGTAACACGATCATTGAAATGAAGTGTGCTAATTTAGTAATAAATGTGCTCCGTTCATAACTTATCAATGAAACAAATTAATGCTTTTATCTGTTTATACATTTATTATATGAAGGAAATTACAATAGGAGGATGAAAAGCAGTTGTCATTTTTACAATAGGAGGATGAAAAACAGTTGTCATTGTTTAAATTATATTTTATTCATTTTAGTAGTCCTATATCATTTTATTTTTCCTTTTATTAGATATTCAAACATAAACTATAGATCAAAATGTTATCAGATAGAGTCGTCTACAAATAATTTGCAAACATATAACTTTGCATGTCCATCCATGCATGTAGTTTTCTATCCTTTTAATAAAAATTAACTTACTTAAATTGATTATATTGAATTTACTTTAAATAGACAAAGGAGCATGTAATTTCAAAACATTACTGTGATACAAATGTAACGCAATAATAATAATAATATAATTATCTTTTTTAAAATAGCCTAATTTGTCAAGTCTAAAAAATCTATAAATGGCCTCAAAATTGACCGTTTTAGGTAAATTTTTTTTCAAAAAAGTAACCTAATTTATTTTATTAATAAATTTCACGTAAACTAATGTGAATTAAACCATAAATCTTCAATGAATAGTTTAACAAATTCTCATTTCTATCAATAACATATATGTTAGAAAAACCCATTATTTAAGATGTGCTAAAAAGACATTTATAAATACAACATTATAAACTGTTTATTTTATAAAAATATTAGAAGTACCTAAAATAACAATACAAACATAAATAACCTTAGAAGCTACCATGCTCATTACACAAAGAGGATAAAAACAAAGACAACAAATGTCGTCTTAGTTAGACTAGTTATCCATTCTTAGCAAGTATAACATGCATCAAATGAAGATAAGGTGTAAATTTAAAAATTTTCCTTACAAATATAAATATGAGCCACTTTTTTAATGTTATAAAAAGGTAGATTTGCTATTAATTAAATATAAAAAAAATACAAATAAGGTTTCTCATTTGATTTGTTATGCGGTGGCAAAGAGAGTTTACCCCTAAAAATAAAACAATGGAAGAGAGACAGAGATCGGGGTGGGAAGAAGAGAATCATTGTCCCATAATTTGACGCCCACGCGCGGCACTGTTGTGGATTCACACTTGCAACTAAACCAAACCAAACCCGCACTTGGCAGCCTTATGATTGGAGCACGTGAAGCGCGTGGTACTTTATCTTCATTGCATTATTATTATTCGCTATTCACATATTCGGTGAGGTGGTCCCACCCAATACTTAATACAAGTTGATGTACACTATACATCCGTGACCACAACACATCCACACCGTTCTTTTCTTCACTCAAAAATCAAAATCAACCGTCCTCTCTCTCTCTCCCCCATTCATCGTTCTTCCTTCACGTCCTTTCCTTAAACACTCGACACCAAAACCATTCTTTCGATACCCAGATAATAATAATAATAATTTTACATTTTTCTTTCTTCTGTTATTTTAATTCTCTGGTCAAAACTTTTTCCTTTCATTATCATCACTGCTTTTAAAACACTTCTAAAACGACAATTATATATATACATCATACCAATTTATTAAAGATTATAACATTTAATATTGCTGTTTATTCTTTAATATATTAAATATTATAATATTTTACAAAAAATTATTATACCCAATTTGATAGCTTCTCACAGCGGGATTTGCGGTTTGGTGCAGAGAAAGCTAATATACAAACGAAGCCAAAGGGGTAAAGATAGCCCAGAGAGTGAATATGCTTCGCTGCCCCTTTATAAATTTTATTTAGATAAAAAAAGTAATTTTTCTTGTAAAGTGGGTGAAAGTTTAGTTTTGTCTGCTAATAAACAAGAAGCTAAGGTATCCTATGGTAGTTTTTATTTTGCCTTAGAATCATAAATAGTCATGTCCAAATATAGGGAATGACCAAAATGTCCTGCTTTGGGGTATTTTAGTTTATTTTATTACATGCAGGTAGCATCATCTGTGATTTTGATTTGAGATGACTAAGCTTCGGAATGGAAGATCTAATTGAATTGCCCGTGGAGTGTACAATATCCGTTTATAGTATTAAAAAAAATTAATTTATCAAAGTTTTAATATGTATAGGTATTAAATTAAAAATAATATCATATGATTTAGTAAATAAATTTATTAATTTGTATCTTATTTGAGTTATTAAATGAAGTTGATTTTTTCCCCTTTTGTCATATATATAAAAAATAATCAAATGGGAATCCAAAGCGTCACTGTTCTACATATAGCAAATAAGGGTAAATGGTTAAAAGTGTGAGGGCATGAAAATGGGGAAAAAAGAAAGAATGATTGGGCAATGAACAGAGGAGAGTCATCTGAAATTGACTGTTCAAGTCAACACCAAAGTCATTTTCCTTGCCGTCCTGCCTTATAGACAACGTTACCATCCTTTAATTATGCACTCTCATTTTTCTTCCCTATTTTGAAGTCACAATTGATTTTCTTTCTTTTCTTTTTGTCCTTTGCCCATTGCAATTCAATGTTCAACTTTCCCATTTTCACATTCGTTTGACAAACCATCCACTTAAATTATCTTATTTTCTTCAATTTTATGCAATTATAACCTATAAATACATTTGTACAAAATTAAGTGCAATAGCCACTGTATAACATCGTGTAGCAGGCCTTCATAATTTTTTAGATATTATATTATTATCAATGTCAAAGCAAGCTATTACATGCTAAACATATACATAATTGACGAAAACGATATTGGTATTCTAAAGCAATAATTGACTGTCGTTGTTCAATAATGTTATTTATTTAAAAATTTATGACATCGCTTTTTCCTTTCCGATAATCATCCCCTTTTTCTCTAGTTGGTAATAATTAATCATCTCTTATCTTTAGGCATTAAACAAATAGACATTTAAATATCGTGGCCTTACAGAAGGAAAAAAATGATTATTATCTTTTTTTGAAATACATACATATAACTAATAAATATATAAAATAATAGGAAAACTTCACAGAGGAAAGTGGTGGAAGTTAATGCCTCCCTGCTCCTGACATCTCCTGTGGAGCTATCTTCAAAGGCACATACATATAAGTAACTGAGATTTGTATAGCCTTCCTTACCTGGCAATCCTATTTTGCTTAGTTGGCTCCACTGCCATTTTAAATCTTTTATCATTAACTTTTTTGGTAGAATTTTATTAAAATATCATTTCTTTTATATGGGGTGCCATACACACATCCTTTCCTGCTCTAAGAGGAATCCAAAATGTTGAAACTATTTAGTTTAATAATAACATTTAAATTTTAAAAAAATCATTAAAAGGAAAAAAAATATTACTAGCGCATATGATACATGCTATTTCATATGTAAAAAAAATATGAAATATAATTGGAAAGACATAAAAGTATATATGAGGAGCATGGAAGGAAGCCATTCAAATATTTCCCTTTAAATTCTTTTGTTTTAATTGTTTTTCATATTGTCATACATAAAGAGAAAAAAAAAAGAAGCAAACAAGGTAAATAAAAATACCAAGACAAATTTCCTCCTATACAAACTCTCTCTTGTCTGCTAAGGTCCCTTTGGACCAAAACCAAACTGTAAATAACATACCAACACCTCCAAATCAAGCTAAAGAAACTTACTTCCTCAAAAAAAGAGGAGAAAAAAAATTTAAACCAAAATAATTATAATAAAAAAAGCATGACTAGAGCAACATCTAATTAAAAACTCAACTCAACTGTGATGAGCTAGCTAGCATCCATGGTTTTTCAAAAGCACTCACTTATCACAAATTCAACTCAACTTCCGATCTGCAAGAAAGAAAACACCCAACAATAAACTCTCTATACATATTCCAGCTCCACAAATTACAACGTAAAAACGGAAGGAAACGAACTTAAGGATTGTGGACATTGGAGGCGTTTGTATGTACATAAGAATGGATAAAATGAAGGAAACTAACCAAATGGAGTTCACTGGGAGCTATTAGGAGCATCTTCTCCACTCTCAGTAGGCTGAGGTTGATGATGATGATGATGATGATGATGTTCCAAGGATTGTTGATTATCGGAATTAATATTCAAACCAGCCCTAGTGTATGCATTGAGAGCAGCCAACATACCCAAGTTGGATTCAGACATGGCAAGGCCCAGATGCTGAGAAGGTTGTTGCTGTTGCGGCATTAACATGGACCCCAATTGAAGAGAACCACGACCACCTTGGAATTCGACACCACCCGGAAGGTTAAACCTCGGCATGAAACCCGTCTGAGGAAAAGGCCACATCTGTGTCTCCGAACTTGCCGACCCAGAAGAAGAACCACCACCGGAAGTTACCGGAAGCATCCAAATTGTGCTGCCGGGAGTGCCTCCACTGGCGGCAGCGGGTGCCACGGCCCACATGGCAGTGGCGGGTAGCAAGTTGGTGGGCCGAAGAAGCCCAGACGCGGAAGAAGCACCTTCTGGTTGTTGTTGTTGTTGCTGCTGCTGTTGCTGCTTCGGCAACTGTTGTAGGTTTGTTGTTTTGAATGCTTTGGGCGAAGAGGCGTCACCGCTTTCGTTATGTGATTGGGTGTTAACGTTATCGTCTTTGAAGAGATCTTCTCTGTAGCGTTTCCTCATGTAGTTCTCGCTGGAGTCGCCGCCACCGCTGGGAAGTGCGTCGGCGATTTGATCGGCGGAGAGAAGCTGCTGCTGTGGGTGGTGTTGTTGGGGGTGATGGTGCTGAGAGTGGTGAGGGTGAAACCCTAACAAAGCTGGGTGTTGAAAAGCTTCCTCGTAAGGATGGTGAGCGAGTGCTAATGCTCCATGGAACGTGTGAGGAGCTGACTTCGACGGCGGAGCCGAGAGCGTGGAGCCGCTGCTCCGGAGGGACACGTTGAGGGTGGAGAAATTGGCCGGGATTGTTCCGGTTCCGGTGGCGGCGATGATCGCCGGCTCGGCCTGCTGGAGCAGCCACTCGATGGTCTCTCCGTCGGACTTGTGACCCAATTCTCGGGTCAATTGGAAAACCCTAGCGGCGCACGTGGCCGGCATTCGGATTCTCCGGCCGCGACCGTCGACCTTAGTGTGCCTGTCCTTGGTGGATCGTTTGGGGGGGTTGGCGACGGGTGTGACGGCGGTGGCGGCGGTAGTGGTGGATAATTGTTGGGTGTTGTTGGGGGAATGGTCAGATCTGGTGGCGATGGCTAGGGAGGCGTCAATGAGGGTGGTGGCGGAGGCGGAGGACGAGGACGATGATGAGGAAGAAGAGGAAGAGGGGGATGAGGTGGGGATGATGAAGGTGGGGTTTGGCCTTGCAATTGCATCGAAAGGGACCACAAGGTGTGATGATGTTGAAGATGAGTGTTGTTGGTGGTGGTGATGGTGGGGATGAGTGGTACCACCTGTGTTCGTGTTCGTGTTTGTGTTGTTTGTGTTGCTGCTCTGCTTCTTCTTGTTGTTTTGCAAATCTGATAGTTCCATTAGGTGGGGAAGCCTCTCTGAAGCTTTCTTTCCTTTTCTTCTCTTTCTTTTTTTTATATTTTTTTTCTATTTTTCTTACTCTCTATCTGTGATGGGATGAGATGAGATAGATGATGATTCATCAGCCCCATCTTTTCTTTCCTTCCTCTCTTAACTCCATCTCACTCTTCCCCATTCTCTCTTTCTTTTCTTTTAGATAGATAGAATAGACAGAGAGAGAAAGACGGGTGGGGTGAGGGGTTTGAGAGAGAGAGAGAGAGAGTTTTAAATTTGTAGAGTGCTTGGACCCAACTGAGAGAGACTGTGAGTTTGTGGGGTTCTCGGTTTTCGATTGACTGTTGTCTTGCCCTCTGCTCAGAGAGGAACAGAGAGAGAGAAAAGGGTAAGTGAGTAACTTAGGTTACAACAGAGAGAGAGAGAGAGAGGGGAGGGGGGGGGGGGGACCTTACTTGGGAGGAGAAAGAAAAGGGAACAGAAGACCACTCGTGGGGTCTCGTAAAAGGAATGCCAAAAAATAGCCTTTTCTTACTCACTGCACCTCTCTATATGATCTGTGCATCTCTTCAAAGTCAAGCTCTAATATTGCCTTCGCATCCCTCCCTCCTCCATCGCCTTCTCCTTTGGGTGGGTGAGATGGTTAAAGTGAAGTGGGGGGGTTGAGGGGTATAACACACAACATAACAGAGGCGAGTCCAGTGCAGCTCAGTAGCTAGACAGCACAGGTGAGCATCAGATAAAGGCATCTAATGCACCACGACAGCTCATCCCAACCCAAACCACATTGTTTGTTTCTTTCTTTGTTTCTTTATACCCTTTTCAATTTTTAAATTCCTTTTTTTTAATGTCATGGTCAAATTTAGTTGGGCACCCCAGCTTTTGATAATTAACTCCACATTTCACAAAGACACAACTGCCCCATTTTCAATTTCACACTTTGCATCCGTTACTTGTGTCAAAACTGCCTCCCTATATACCCATTTCCAAATCCCACGGAAACAAACACAATTCATGCAATTATTCGCTGTCTATAAAAGAGAGCGCTAAAATCTTCTCAACAAAAGTAACGCGTTACAATCAAACCTTTCAAATGGCATATTAGACCACGCTCGGTTTTATATTCTGTCAATAAATGTTCATTCACAGAACAAAATGAAAACAACAAAAAAAAACAATTTTACTCTATGAACAATGCACTGTTCGTTGGTTAGTTCACAACATCATATCGTGACGTTAGGAAATGGTAAAGAAAGCTACAAATTATTCACTGTCATACACTGAAGCTTCGAAAGGAATGGACGATATATAATACACCTTACATAACTGCTCGAGTATATGAAAGTGAATCTAAATCATTTTTATACAAAAAAATTCTAACTTGAAGACATTTAGAAAATATTCACTGCAAGGTTTTTTCTAAACAATTGCAAATATTTTCAATATCATTTTTATAAGCTTGTCAAGCTTTATATTCTTGTGATCCCATCTAAATTAAAGCTTATCGTATGCCCATGTCATATTCGAAAACTAAAAGTAGAAAGGTTTATGACTAAAATGGCTTAGCCTACGATATATAGACCAAACAATCTGAAAGGAAAGGAAATGATTTAGGTGAAAATGGAGAAATGATTGAAATCATCAACAGACATTATTATTTGCGTAATTTTATATCTTTCACGTACAACGTTTTAATAAAAACTTGAGTTTCAAATCATGTTATATAGTTTAATATGATTTTTTTCGAATTATGGTACATGTTTTGCCTAATGAATTGTTACCCTTGGTCGAAAGCATTAAAAATCAGCATGCCATGGGTTACGACCGTTATGCAATCATTTGAGATATTTGAAGGTTAGGTATAATAATAGTGAGCATATGATCCTGAGTATATATGAGTTAATGCTAGGAGAGTGAAGAAACATGATACGTAAGTTTTTCTCATTTTTATTTTGGCACTTTTCTTGAAAATAGTATAAAGGGTTTTGAGTAGCATATTTTAAATTTTGATTCGCATGAATAATTCCAATATTTATGTGCCACCCCTTATGTGTAAGTCTCCACTAACTCTAAGAAACCAAAAAATAAAAACTATATAAAACCAACAACACTTTTTGACTAAGCAAACATTCAGCTTCCCCTAACAAAGTTTAAGAGCACTCTTGCGTATAAAGCTTTAATATAATGTTTTCCAGCTGGAGAAATAAACTATATTTTTAAATCACAGAAAGGTTTCATTTTTCATATAAGGTAGTATTGACTACTGAGTTCTGGATCCTTTGAGTTGATTTTTATCAAGTGTACAATTTTGTCCTGTCACTGTAATGGTGACCGGACTAAGAAGAGTACTTGATGTGTGCCCGTATCAATTTTACTCTCTATATTTCCACCCAGTATTCTTGTATTAAAATTTTCTACTAAAATATTCAAAAGACTAATCAACCAAACAAAAAGCATTAGAAAAAACTAAAGAAACTTACTAATACCAGCCAAACAATCCAATGATCTGGACCCTCTTGCATTATTATACCATTTCAATTTGAACAGATAATCATAAGGTATAATTAAATCTACTAACCACACAAACCCAGCCTTCATCTTTATCTCTAACCTCTTCACAATATTAAATTCAACAAATCAATTGCCATTATCACTCAGATCACAATTAATACACAAATAAAGAACTAAACTTGGTGGCTAACACAGATGGGTTGGAATGAATGATAAAATCATGGGTATGTTCGTAAAAAACTAAACTTGCTGTCTATTAAATTTACTGTAGTGCCTGCTATGCGAATGCGAGGACAGTCACAGTGAGAATTACTATTCATACATCACACCATGTTTGTTTGGTTCTTCCTATAAAACAATGATTTTGTGCTGAAAAATGAAATATAGATATTACGTCACATTTCAAAATGATGTGTCACAGATTGTCAGAAAAATATCAGCCCCACTTACGCTGTATTTGAATCAGGATCATTAAATTAGTGGTCTGCGTGTTATTTAAATCTGTGCCTCTGCTAAAATTAAGTTTACTATGTCCTATCAATGGTATTTCAGTGCCAATCTTTATTTCTTTCTGTTCCCTCTTGCTTTCCTTTTTTAAAATCTGATCTTCACCCTAATCAACCTTTCCTTGCCAAACATAGCCATACAACTACAAGAGAGTTCTATTACGATTACTCACTCAAAAATAATTCTAAATTCTTTAAAATTATATTATTTAATATATTGTTAATTTTTAATCAATAATTTTTTTCTTTACTAATACCTTTTGTAGTAAGCATTTGCCTTTTATAAAAGTAACTTAATTTGTCATATTACTTTTTTATTAGAATTTCTCTTTCTTTTCTTATTTTTTTCAAAATTAATTAATTCCCTGCGTTACTTTTTGTATTTAAGGCGCACTTAAAAAAACAAATAAGTTAGTTTTTCCTTTTGTCTCATGTTAGACAAAAAGAATGTAATTTTTGTTGAGTTTTAACGTAAGATTCATCATCAAGTTTTAAGAATAATTTTTCCCATATTTGCATTTTATTAGTAATATTTTTTAACTTGTTGATAATTAATATGAAAATATAATTTAGTTTTAATTAAATATAATTTTATAATGATGTGATTAATTTTTAAAAATTATATTAATTACTTTCAACAATTTTTTAACATCGGTGATTCAAAAGGAAATTTTCTTAAATCATGAATAAAGATACAATTAATTATTTGACCAAAACTATAAATTGAAAATTTTATATCTTGAAATAATTATAAATTTAACATTTTAAATTATTTATCACCTCAAATTTAAGATAATAATTTTTTTTAATTTATGTACGATGTTGATTCCTCTAATTTTAATTATTCACATTTAATCTTCAAAATTTGTTACTCCAAAAGTTTTTCAAATAATCAAAAAAATTTTAACAAGCATGTGCATGTATATTTAAGCAACTAAATTTTTCTTTAAAACTTTTATTATGTTTATATATTTCATTTAATATTTTTATTAGAATATTTTATATATTATTATTTTTAATTTATACAGATCAATACTATGAGTCACTTTTATTATATTTAATGAAAATTTTCACAACATACTCAATTTAAATAATTAAGAAGAGTAGATATGAACAATTACAATTAAATAGAGTAAAAATACATATAAACTAAAAGAAAAAGATAAAGATGTAATTAACATACATGGCGTAGCAGCAGATGGCTAACAACAATAGTAATGTGAAGAAAATGTAAAATACGAAAAGCTGCAAAATTTCCCCAACTTTTCAGTTCTCACAGTTTGAGTCCCCAGTCCTTGGAATTCCATTGCCGAGTACCTTTTCAGACTTCTCTCTGTTGTTCCCATCTGCAGTAAATGTTTCATTTCTTTTAAGTAAGATATTGAATTTAAATTTAATTAATCTTGTTTGTATGAATTAGAAAGTTATTTACAGCTCGTTATCCACGTTGAAAGGGATTTTCAACCTTGTCTATGTTGTCTGCATGCGATGATGAATTCAATTAAAGTTTAGACCCCACCCTTATGTTTTCTAAATGAAATTTGTATTAATAATGTATTCAAATATGCATTAAGAATCAAATCAATGGAGTAGAACTTTATTGATTTTTAAGATAGATAACGGGTTAATTGTTTTTTCACCAAAGGACACTTGAAATAAACAAAAACAGTATGGTTCAATATAAAAATAATAATAATATCATAAACAGGAAACAGTTAATGCTTTTATATAGTTAGGTTTCTCTCTTTTGTTTTCTTCATTTTTAGTCCTTCCTATTCATATCTTATTGCTTTTCTAGCGACAATTCCATACACTCATAAAATATTATGTTTTAATAAGTGAAATTGATTACAACAATAATGTTAAATACTATATTTATTACGTATTAATATTTTTTAATGTAAACAATCACCAAATGTCTTTATGTAGCTGTCGGCAAGATCTTTTGCTAACAAAGTTGACGATATACATATATCTAATAAGATTTTATATCATTGCATCAACTTTATGAATTAATGTATACTTACTTTAAAATACATGATTCAATGTTACATTTATTGAATATTTTAAAAAATACTAAAATTTATATTATTTTTATTTACGATTTAGAAACATTTAGCTTATAATAAATATTTTTGAAATATTATATATATAGATATATATACACACACAAATTATAATACTTCATTTTAATTATTGTTTATTATAAAACATATTCAAATCCATTGCATGCTAATGTTTTAATCTACGCGTTGCTTACTAATTGTACTTTTATATCCTGAATTTAATTATAGAAAATTGATTCGGTATTAAAATTTATTAAATAAAAAATTAAACCATTATAAGGCTTGTACAGGAAATATGTTCAAAATACTTTTATAAATTTCAAACAATTTTTTATTGAGTTAATAATTTGAAAATTCACTATTGCCTTATATTGAAAAAAAATAATATAAAATACTATCTAATTTTAATATAGTATTACCCACGAATGTTTAATCATGTAAACTCTACACACTACATATTCACTAAGATGGCTCATTTTAATTAACTAATATACTTTTCATAAAGTTTAGATAACTTTTTCAATAAAATTTTAAAACTACGACCCAATTTCCAATAAATTTTCCACACATGAAAAATTTTTAATACATGAATTTTTTTTAAAAAAATAGTGAAGTTTAATAATATTTTTTTTATATAATTAATCATTTATTATCAAGATAATATTCAATAAATATTTTTAAAAAATTTTTGTTAACAGTTATTATATTGAAACTATAAAAATATAATAAATATTTTTTAATGAAATTTATTATTAGCTGCTTATTTTAATAAAAAATTTTAAAAATTTTATTTTTATCTTTTTTTCACTTACTATATTTTTAATAAACAAATAATATTTTAGTATTTAAAAATATCATGTTTTTTAATTTTATTTTTTGATAAAAATGAGTGTGATTTTAGTTCTTAACGTGAATTTTTTTTTATTAAATATGGTAACTTAAATTGAATAAATTTTATATAAAAATGTAAAGATATAGAAAGATTTAGGGTTTGAGTTGAGTTGTTTGGATGCCTAGTGCCACTCCATCATATTTGGGTAAATCAATATTTCTCTCACAATGTTCCCTCTATCTATTGCATTTGCATGATCGTCTACCTTCACCTTTTATATATTAGTCACATTTTTTAACATTAGACAATGTGAAATCTCTTTCATTTTACTTATAGTTGACTCAACATTTTAAATCTTTACAACTAACTCCATAATAAATAACATACCATACATAAATTATTCTTTTAAATTATATAAAAAATATTTTTCGAACATTTTTATAAAATAGCGAAGAACGTACTTTCTCATTCTTTTATATTTTTAAGCATGAGTGTAATATAAAAATACAAATAAGTATAGTAAAGTAAAAAAATATATAAATATTGTTAAAATCCGTATATTGAGAGGAGCAGAGATGACACGTGTTACGTTTCAGTTATCATTACCCACTGACGTTATGTTAAACCACATTTCTATTCTTTTTAATTTTATTTTTTAATATTTTTTATTTCTTTAATTTACAATTTAATTATGTATATTCAAATGAATATAATTTATTTGAATATACATAAATCATAATGTGTTGTTATTTAATGGTTTTAAAATGACTTTATTTACATATCAAATAGTTAATATTTTAGTGAATGGGAAGGGAAGAGACGCGAAGAGTGGGAGCGTGGGACTCAGTTGCCAATTATAGAAGTGGAGTGGGAGCAAGTGAAATGTCATATTTGTAAGTGGGCCCACAATGGATAAGTCTCCTCAACTAATAAAAATATAACTCATTTATCATTTTATTTTTCAAATAATTAATCTCGTGATTAAGATAAATAGAAAGATTTGAATCTTTCATAACGCGTAGACTTAAATTATTCATTTTATGTAAATTAAGACAATGAATAAATATATCAATCTTAATTATACATGGGATGATTTTTATTAAGAGTTTATTTGGTGGATATCATAAGACAAAAAATAAAATACATTTGTAATTTCATCTTTCAAGTTAAAATAACATAATGCATACGATTTTTTATTTTACACACTTCAAATAATTACATATTGTTTAACGTAATATGATAATAATAAAATACTTATTTTCTTATCATATTATGTTGTAATTAAATTCTCATATAACTACTCACAATTTTCACTCAAAAGTTTACTTATTCTAAGATATTTGTAAATTAAATTTATTTAGTAAAAATATTTAATCTCAATTCTTAAGATTGAGATAAGTAACTAATAATAAATTTTTTTATTAAAAAGTGAAATATTTATTATATTTTTGTAAACTTTTTTTTTTATTAAAGGTATACTTTTTTTTATAAATTTATTTATTTATAAATGCTTAACTTTAATTCCAAGAGTTAAGGTTAATAGAAAAAATTATGTTAATTTATATTTATTTACATTTATAAAATCTTCAAAATTAAATAAATAGAAGATACAATTTTACTTTACATATTTCTTTATTATAGATTAATTAAATCCTTTAATTTTATTATCTATTTTGAGTTCAATTTTGTTTTAATCTAATTTGGATATTTTGAAATTGTTATTTACATAACAAAATAATATAATCATTTTCTAATCTTTATTTGGAGAGTGATTTTACAATACAACAAAGAATTATTTTTTATATTTTTTTAGTTCATATTAAAATACGTATGTGTCAATTACTTAATTCTTTATATATGTGTGTGGGGGGAGGGTAGGATACCCCTCTCATTGCTCTAGCCATAAGCTATGGCAGCTTCAGCTCGAAACCATGGAGGCCTCAGCATAGAGAAGTGTGTGTGTGTGTGGTAGGATACCCTTCTCATTGCTCTAGCCATAAGCTATGGCAACTTCAGCTCGAAACCATGGAGGCCTCAACATAGAGAACAATAAGGATAACAAGTGCTTCGCATGCTTGGCGGGCAGCAGGAGTAGCGGGCAAGTGCTTGGTAGGCCAACAGCTTAGTGAACCGGGCAAGGCACTTGACGAAAGGGGGGCATACTGAGCAAATACGACAAATTGGCACAACAGAGCTTTATTAAAAGCAAGGACCACTACAAGAGGTCAAACCAAGGCTCTTTTTTCATTTTTTTTAAAGGAGTTTAGGCATATTGTCTATACGGATGCACGTCTTTACAATGACAGCCCAATTCAGACAATGATAGATGACGAAAGCCTGCCAGCGAAAGCTGAAGCATAGATTTGTAGACTTCTCTGAATTACAACAACCTTCTCAAGCAGAGGACCCTAATGGAGCAACATTCATCCTCTCAATGGAAGGTTTTTTTCCTCATCTTTCACAGGGTAACTCAAAAGTCTTCTTCTAAGTTGGAAAGAATTGTCACTAATGGTGAGATAAGAAAGAGAAAGTACATTCCAATTACAAAGAAGCTAAGGACATAGGCTATAACCTTGAGGAGCCTGTTAGACTAAAGTGAAGAACAGTTGAGGCAGAAAAGTACCCCTCAAGCCACATTTAAGTGAAGAAGAAAGGGAAGCTTAGCTAGCCAGCTAGTACGTATGTCGATCTCAGAAAACATAAGCTTAGGCTACTTGCCAACTCTGCTCCTTGTGCTAAAAACTTTGTCTAACACTGAAAGTTTTGGAGATCTTTCTTTCAGATCTCTTCCAATTGTCTATAAACTCTGTCTCCGTCAAACAAAGAGCAAAGAGACAAGAGTCAATTCAATAATAGGATGTAGAGTCTATGCCCCCTACAGAGGACGAGGTCAAGTAAATAGATCTCGTGTTGACAATCCTTGCCCTGTATTCCTAAGTGCAAGCTTCTCAAATGAAAGAGATTAGACCAAAAGATAAATGAGTTAGCTCAGGCTCAGGGCATGAAAGAAAATAAATAAGAAAAATGATTCCTAATCTGAAGAGTTTAGTTGCTATAGTGGAATCTGTTGAATTTGGGAAGGCTCACAGGTTTTGTGGTATATCCTTACATATATAAGTAGTTTTCCAACTCTGATCAAATGGATTTAGGAAAGCTTCCACGTGACTTCCTCAAGTTAGTCTTCTACTTGAACTGTCTTATCGAAAGCTAAAGGTAATTAACCTAGAGAATCTGACTAAATTTGCCTTGAACTTGGCACCTTACCTTATTCTCCTTTGCTTGGGAATTAGATTCAATAAAGAGGAGTCACTGATTGGATAGTGGCACTGGAATGATAGCAAGCATCCCTTCTTCTCTTTCTTGGTATGAAAGAAGTAGCTAGGACCCATCTCCCTCACAGTCTCCTTTCGTGAATTCTCTAAGAGTGGCATCCACATAATCAGAAAGTAGTGACGAAGGGTCAAGTAAAAGTGTTAACATGCAAAGAACGTAAATGCCGACAATATTGGGGATAGGAGCTTTGCTCAGCGAAACCCCATGCTTTGAGAGTTCCTTTCTACTAGCGTTTTCTTTCTCTACCTAGGAGTCACTTCATTAGTGTCTTTTCTCTGCAATCCAGCAGCATATGGTTGGTAGCAAGCCAATCCATTCCCAAGATTACGTCCAGTTGGGAAGGAGGCAAACAAATCAAGTCTACCTCAAACTCCCTACCATGCACCATTATTAAACACCTCATACATACCCATGACATCATAACCAGATTACTCGTAGGGGTAGTCACCACAACATTACACAGTAGTTCAGTTATATACAGATTCAAACTCTTCACACAGTCCACAGACACAAAAGAGTACGTAGCACCCGAGTAAAATAGCACATTAAGCAATCTGCCTTTAATTACACATTTATCTCATATCAGCTCCTTTGACTGTGAAGCCTCTGCCCCACTTATAGCAAAGACTCTACCAGGAATGCTCGACTTCTGCCCCGTGCTTCCCCTTAATTCTGGCCTCTGTGCGGTGCTAGTACTATCACCCCTCTTGGCGGCCCAGCACACATTAGCAGCATGCCTCAACTTCCCACAGTTACTACAAGTAATTCGTGACTGTAGGCAGTCCTTCACCATGTGTGACTCTCTACACCTAAAACATTTATCAGTCCTCTAAAATAACCCGATTCCAAACCACTCCCACAACTCTTCTCTTAAGATGAACTTCCTCTTGACTGTGAATTGCTTGAGCTTGAATATGGCCCCTTGAAAAATCTAAGGGTCTCCTATCTTGTCTCACTAGGCTAGCTCCCCTAGTGTCCACTGTCTTCCCCTTTGAGTTTGCTTCGAAGATTTTGCTCTTGCTTATCAAGGTGGGCAAGTTCGTCAGTTGAAACACACTGACTGCAGCTCGGATGTCTGGCCTTAGCCCGTGCTCAAATTGTGCACACAAGTCCTCCTCACCATCCCCATCTTGGTAGTGAGGCCAGTACTTTGCGGCATATTCTCCCACCGTCATGCTTCCTTGCTTCAGCTCAAGGAATTCACGGGTCTTCTGCTTCCTCAGATCCCGAGGAAAGTAATTCCCTAGGAAAATTTCTTTGAAGATCTCCCACTGAATGTAGCCACCATCTTGTGATAATGTCTGACCAGCAAACTTCCACCAGTCTTTCGCTTCTCAACACAGCACGTAAGTGGCATAAGCGACTTTGTGCTCCTCACGACACCCCATTGCGTTGAAGACCTTCTCTACATTTGTCACCCATCTCTGGACTCCCTCAAGGTTAAACCCTCATTCAAACTTTGGAGGATCGTGCCTAGTGAAGGCAGACAATCCTCGGTATTCAGCCGGCTCTCTACCTTGGTTGTGCACCATGGCCTCTAGAATTTGAGCCATGCGTTCCATGAGGTTATTGGAGCTTCTAGCACCTCTACCTCTACCCCTACCAGTCATGTTCAATCTATTGCTACAATAATTCAACAGACACATTTCATCATATCATATCAATAACACATTCATAATTCAGACAAATAAAATAATCAACACTTAGCTTAGACGCTTCAGCCCGTTACCCCAGTCCAGTTTGGATGAACTGCTCTGATACCAAAATTGTAACACCTGAACTTTTATTTCAAATAGATAATAATTTTCCAAATTCAAAATAATAAAAGTTTTATGAAATATTTCGAAATAGGAAAAATTGTTACAAGTTTATATCAAATAGCTATTACAGGATCATTTCAAATACAACAATCTCAAAATAACATCTTAAGCCCTATAGCAGTTCCATCCAACCCTTCACTGAACCCGGTGCTAATCGTCTTTGTTACCTGAAAAATTAATGTAAAGGTGAGTATTCTACACTACTAAACACACAAACAAGCATAGAGTCTCACCTTACACATAATTCACATTATTTCTAATACACTTCACACAATATAATCATAGGCAGCAATACTACTCCATTCAATTTAATTCAAACACCGATGCACTCACGGCATCAAACAATTTACGCAGACAAAAGTGACAAACAATAATCTCGTACACTTACTGCACACCAGCCACGCTCACGGTGGCACTGTGATAACATATTTTCACTATGGATGGTCATCGGTTACTCCCGTCTCACGAATACCACGTAGGCAGTCACAGGTCGCTCAGCAAAGGTAGTGGTCAGAGGTCTAGTCAGGAAAAGAGTGTGTGACTCGTGGTGCACCCGCTCCACTGTTGGTGTCACCACCACTCTCTCTCCCCTAAGGTATTTCTACCGCCCTCATCTTTCACACTCCAGTATATCGCTAAACCATTCACAACATATTACACCGACGTTAATCATGCCTCATTCACACACATTACAATATTCATTCTCAGTATGCAACGCAAAGCCAACAGTCATGCATAATACACGACACTAGGCACACATTCGTTTTACAATGCACGGCACGAAGCCCATATTCATGCATATTACACGGCCCTTGGGCCCACACTTGTTCATAATATTCATTCAAATATATAGCACAAGTGCCCACACCTTCACAATACTCGACATACATGCCCTTATCCTATCACACAACATTTAATATATATAATCCACACTCATTAACCTTAGGCAACCACACATTCTTTCATTCACACACGTAATATTCACTTCTCATGGCACATGCCCACATCATATTTCACAACAAACCCTTTAACGTAGGTAGATCACAATATTCAACAAAATAACGGCAAATCACACACAATAAAGTAGGGTGGAGTCCCCACACGAATTTCGGACTAAATACATGGAAGAATTTCATGAGAACCCAGGGAAATCATGAAAACAGAGAAAAGTAATGAAAAACAAAAACTCTAACCATTAAAACTCACCTCCAAGCGTTCCCTCCACGGATTCAACCTTTGATCTTGCTCCCGAACGACTTTGGAGACAATTTAATCGATAGAATAGGGTTTTGGGTCGAGAGAATCGAAGAGATTTGGAAGGAAAAATAGGGAAATGAAATCTCAATCCCTAAACCCCTTTTTAAAAGCTCTCTGGTCGCGACACTCTCACTGCAGCGACGCCTTCTATCGCCACAGCAAAAATCTCAAACGAAATTGCACCCTAATTTCTACAGAATCTCACTACAGCGAGACTGCACCCAGAAATGCACCTGAAACTATGGCTTTGTCGCTACAACGAGATACTATCGCTACAGCAGCAATGCGACAGTTTCATACCTTCCTCCCAGGACTCTCTCGCTACAGCGAGAAAGGTACAGTTTCATGCCTCACGCCTAAAGGCATCTCGCTACAGCAAGAATGCCCTGCAGCAGCATCTATACTTAGCATGTTTTCAGCCCAATCAATCTAATCCAGTTATACACACACACACACACACACACACACACACATTCATATACATTATACCCACAAACATCATTATTACGCATTCAAATATAAATTACATCTTTTACATTTACACGTACATATAAACACATATACATATATCAATAATAATTAATATTACAAAATTCAGGGCGTTACACTATTGTCCTAGGATGCCAAAGGTATGATCCATACCTGGAAAGTGTCAACTTTGACTCACAAGTGCTACCTTTACCGGGTAAATCCGGAGAAGGGCAACTGCTTCTATAGGTAACGACTCAACTTTAAATTTTTATTTATAGAGTCATGAACCAATGAGTCTTTAAGTAAGTGGGCGAACAGTGTAATGAGCTTACAAGAGGTAGAAAATCTTTGCCTACCTTCTTCTCTTAGTTTAGGACGTAGGTTATGTAGGCGTACAACTCTTCCTGGGTTCTATTCAATCACAAATGGCTAAAGAATTTATTAGTAGTATGCCTTATATTGCCCTCAGACCTCCACTCTCCCTATTGATGGGATTTCAAAACAGACTAGCTCTCTAACTTCATTTCTACCAATAAGTAAAAAAAAAAACTAAACCAAAACAAAAGAAAACACACGAAATAAAACGGAGCAAAACTAAAAAAAATTCAATTGTTTAAAATTTAAATGAAACTAGCAACTACATAAAACACTGCCCACTAGACACCAAACCAAACTCACCAGAGAGGTAGTTCACATCAACTCACTTCGATTAACCTGGACTTCATGGATGCAGCCTTTTCAGTTAACCTAGTTATTAGTTGCGCCCAATCATTATTGCCACATTTTTAGTTCTTGCTGCTATGATAATTGCTTTTCGTGCTAGGTTGCATGCCTGCCCAAATCTTATTCACTAATTGGGTTCTGCTCCTTAGAGGAAATTGGAAAGATCTTGAGATGGCCTAAATATTCTTATCTTATATACCTTCTGTTCTTCATATTCGGATTAGTTCAAATCAAATAGCCTACGCATCAACAAGGAAGTGCTAACCATGCTAAGATCGTTTACGCTGCAAAGTCATTTCACTGATTACTAGCCATAAATCCTATGCATCCTCTCTTCATGTCAAAGCAGATTTACCCACTTCTTCTCAAATCTAAACAGAAGATTCTTTCTAAAGAGATAACATTTTGATTTTTCAGAAAGAGATTTTGACTTAGTCTTGACTTATCTTTCTAAAGGGAAGAGGTAGCCTTTAATAATGCATCACTTCTCTCACTCCTAGCTAGGCATGACAGAATAAAGGAGTTGAAAAGCAACATTACGTTGAAGGATTGACGATGTGGTTCTTTCAAACCTTATTCTCTCTTGCACAGGTGATCCATAATGGGCTCACTTCACTTATCTCTATATAGAATATCTCCTTTAGATCCCATCCCATTAGACTGATTTAGTGTGGTTAAGCTGTGTCTTTGAAAAGTCACTGAGTTTAGGGCTTTCTCTCATGTTTAGAAAGATAGCTATCATCGAAAAAGGTTAAGCACCTACAATAGCAATGGGAGGATTTCTCCCACAGAATTCTGTCACATCCTTATAGCCAGAGTCAGTCGTTGGAGTTTATCCCTTTATAGACAATGAAAATGTCCCTTCATCTCGACTCGTCCTTCTTTGTTATTGCCGTAGCAGTCCCGCTAACGGTAGTCCCTGCCCCTAGAGAGTTTTAATTTTAGTTGCTTTTGCCCTTACTTGAATTAGCTAACTTTATCCTCCAATGGAAAAAATCCCGCTTTATTACAATATGGTTATACTGCTTCTAAAGAAAGAGAAGAGAACTGGGTAAAGTAATCGTATTGTATTCTATACCAGGGAGAATCTAAAGTCCAAAACGATTCCTCTCCTTGTCAAGCAGAAAATCCCTAGCCATAGCTTGTCGTACTCGCTGGCAACTGCCACTGCAAGCAGAGGGGCTTCAGGGATTACCTCAGCTCAGTGGAAAGCAGTCCAACTCCTCTGGAAATGACAGCCAAGATAGGGAGTCTGGAACCAGCAAGCACTTAGGAGAGGAAATTCGATTTCGAAGCCCTATCTTGTCCCTGGAGTCCTCCCGCTACACCCATTTCACTAGAACCTTTGAAAAGGGAGAATCTCCACAGACTAGGGTTCTTACCTCTTTGAACAGCTAATGTGCCTGACTATGCCCACTCCGGTGCAAATACCATTTTTTTTAACTTTCTTCTACCCTGCTCATTGCCCCTCAAGCTTAAAAAAATGCCTTTTTGTTGTCACCACTAGGTCAATATGGCTAGTTTTCTATTGCTATTTCTAGCTTAAATTAAGGCAAGGCTTCGAAGCCCCTCTTCTCTTCTCTCTGTAACTAGAGAAGTAGGCAAACTTGAGCACCGATGTAAGTCTAAAAATTCTTACACCCAATCTGAGTCTTTCATTTAATTTAAATCTAACGGGTTATAATTTATTACTTTACGAACCGTTATATTTAAATTAAATGAAAGACTCAGATTTGGTGTAAAATTTTTTAGACTTACACCAATGTAAGAAGATCCTTCTTCTATATATATAATTTGAATTACTTTTTAAAATTAAATAGAATTTGTAGCTAATCTAATATATTTTAATTATTTTTTATGTATTTTTAGATCTAATATTTTTATAAACTTTGATTTTGGATTCTAATATTTAATTTAACACTGTTTTAGGACAAGTAATGTAACAAAAAAAATTAAAACTAGACAAAATTTAACATACAAAAGCTTTCTAGTTCAATCATCATCATTAAAAAAATAAAATTATTAAATTTATAAAATTAAAAAATAAAATAATTTTTTTGAGAGACTAAAATAAAAAATTCACAAAAAAATTAATACTGAACATAAATTTTAACCTCTTCTTTATATCCAAATTAGATCAGGTGATGAATATCCTCCAACTTCTCCCGTTCCAAAACAGTTTTGCTTATATCCCTTGCAAATTCGTTTTAATTTATTCATGTTTATCTATTTTGCTTGGACCTTATGGTTTCTCTAAGCTAATAAAAGATTGGCCATAATTGGTTGGTGATTGCTGATGACTTACAAAATACATGCCTTATCAGGTATTTTTACATTCGTTGCATGTATAAGACTACCCCTTTGTTCAAGTTTTGAGGACCAAGTTTATTAATACAAAGAAAGAAGACTAATTATTATTATTATTATTATTATCATGTTGGTGAACTTTCTGAAATCCCCCATGCGGGTTTGCACCTACTAGTATGTTCATCATTGTACATATATGCATATATTTGACAAAGGAATAAAAAAATGAACAGTGATGCAAAATTGTTTGTTCCCTATTAAAAACCTCATAATTGAGTTGTTGCGAATACTCATATAATCAGGTGTTTTTACTTGTCGGACTAGATGTTTTGTCTATTCTGTAACTCTTTTAAGGCTGTCTTTTCTGGGTTGGAAAATTAGTGTTATTTCAGTACTAGCAGACTAGTACTCAATGTTAGTACACTGCATATCTTATCGTAGCCCAAATCACTTTGGACCAAAGACTGTTAGCCCAATTCAATACCCCATCAAAACATTTTTTTAAATTTATTTTGCTTATAGATGGTGTATACGAAGACCGAAATAACAAAGTAAATTGTCTCATTTGGGAAGTGGGAAGTGAAAACAACTCAGGAAGGTAATGATTCACAAGTTTCTGCATTCTGCTGGCAAAGAGGACAATAGTCATTATCAAAGGTGTGTCATGTTTCGAGCCTAAGGCACATAGTCCATAAAAGTTGAAGAGCGTCAAGGTGACAGATAAAACTTTTAAAAGATATATATATATATATATATATATATATGGATCCTATAAAAACTTTTTTAAAGATCAAACATTCTTGCCAATTGAGAATTAGGAATCCACATTCCATTGTCATTTTTTAAATTATGTACCAACAACTTCATAATTAAGAACTACGAATAAGATTTTAAGCGAATAAGTTCTCATAATCTAATCTAATATAATCATCTACCGGATCGCTTTGTGTTTTATATGGGCCATGCTAGTTCAATCTCAAGACTGTTAAATAGTGCTATGCCTTCTAGATTTTGGTTCGAACTTCCAAGATAACCAATGGGATCCATGCGGTACAGATTAGTTGAAGAGAACAACACTAGAACCTTACCATTTATTAAAACAAAGTTCAGTTTACTTTGGTTCCATGGACAATTAATATCAAGCTCCAAACTCCATTTACACTTTTACTAAGGCAAATTTTTGGGAAAAGTTGAAAATTTTGATTCTTTTAAGAACATAATTACAAGCATTCGACAGACAGGCTGTAAATTGAATTTGAAGAATTAGTTAAACAGCTAAAAAAAGAGTGTGTATATGTATGTATTATTTAATAGCTTGATTATTATACTTTAATAAATTTCATCTAACTCTATTAATATAACTGCTGTAATCTCAATCACTAGAGTATTTGAATTAAGAGGGTAGGTAACATAAATTATCAGATTAGATTAGTATTTAACTGCTAACATGGATTGGGTGGTTCAATAAATGACTGCATTCTTAAGGAGAATATTAAAATATAAACTCTTAACAAAGTGTTGAGAGGACATGTTGATATCCTATAATCAATATTGAAATAAAATTATATTTTGAAACCAGAACTTACCTTACAATTAATTTAGATTATTTCTAATATAATAATCAAGATAACATTAAAATTAATATATAATTTTATATAAACAGTAAAATTGTATTAAAATAAGCATTAAACTAATAAAATCTGTTTGGAGTTATTAATTTCATTAATAATTAAACTAAACACAATATTATTTGTGCAGAGGGTAGAAGGTAGTTGAAGCAAGAAAGATTAAGCTTAAACATGCACTCATAAAAATAAGTACTTTTTGTTTCTCTGTTTACAAAACGAAACTAAGAAAATGAAGATTAAAACTGGATTTAACACAAATTACAAAACACATTAAATGATAAAAGATTGATTTATTTCTGCAGAAATCGATTGTAAAGGGAAGACAAATAGAAATACACCCTAAGAAGGGACCCGCAGGACAAGGTGAAATTCAATAAGAGCCGTACATTTTGGGACCGGAGTTTGGATGTAGTAGAAATAACTGTCATTGACTAGCTATTGTAAATGTTATGTGAAATTAACTTATCGTTTAGAGGCCAAAGGTGCCACGAATTATGTGACATTGGCCTTTACTCTTGGGAACAAGTTTTCCATTCCTTCTTCATTGTTGACTCAGCTCAGCGCCAAACTTCACTGAAAAGAAATGAAAGGGAATAAAGCCCTTCTCTTGTATAACTGAGAATTGCAACTCGCTCGGTATAAGTACGTTTGTTCTTATGATAAAATAAAAATTTATAGACAAATATGGAAATTATAAATAAATAACATGCTAAACAGTATAATTTTATGATAGCGAGAGAGGAAAAACTTTTAAAAGGTGATATAATAAAGAAGGCAAAGAAGTGAGAAACGGGTCCCATAAACCAGCTAATGGGTATCCCATCCCTCGTCAGAATCCTTTCCTTTGGGGTGGAGGACACCTTTTCTTGTCACGAACTCTTTTGCTTTTCCTTTAACTTTTCCTCTTCTCAATAATTCTTCGATTATAGTTCTGGTTTTAATCCTATCTTAGGCCTCCAAAGCACCTTTATTCCCTGGGTACTACAAAAAGCTAATGATACATCTACATATTGAAATCCTCAAGGCCTCAACTTACTAAAAAGAAAAACTAATTATCCCTTTTCCACTACTTCTAATGTAAATTAACCTCTAAAACCCAACCCAACCCTCCATGCATATGCCAAAGAAGAAGTAACACTGAAATAACAAGGAGAAGTAGAACATCTATGGCAGATTTTGATTATGAAGAGCTTCTAAAAGCAACAGATAACTTCAACCCTACAATGATCATAGGAAAAGGAAGCCATGGCATGGTCTATAAAGGTGTAGTATTCAAAGAGAACAGGTTGGTAGCCATAAAGAAGCCATCTCAAGGCCTTCAATCTCTTCACGACAACTCCAAGCTCGAAAACGAAATCCGAGTTCTATCTTCTTTATGTGAAAGCCCTCACCTGGTTAAACTTCTAGGAACTAGTTACGATCATGAAAACTCGTTGAAGAACAAGCACAAGCTCATAGTGATGGAGCTCATGCCCAATGGCTCCCTCCATGACTGGCTCCATGCAGCTAAAACCCCACCCACATGGCCTAAACGTGTCGAAATCGCCATGCAAATCGCTCGTGCGGTGCAGTTTCTCCACGAAGGCAAGCCTTTGGTCATCCACAGAGACATCAAGTCCTCCAATATCTTATTTGATTCCCAATGGAACGCCAAGTTAGCAGATTTTGGACTAGCGGTCAAAGGAGTTGACCCACTGAGTCAACCCGCTGGGACAATAGGGTACATAGACCCGTGTTACACTACGCCTTGTAAACTCAGCACAAAAAATGACATGTTCAGTTTTGGGGTTGTGTTATTGGAAATCATGAGTGGTAGAAAGGCCATTGATGTGTGCAAAACCCCGGCTTCAATTGTGGAATGGGCGATTCCGTTAATCGAAGAAAAACTTTTGGAAGAAATTTGTGACACAACAATAATGGCACTGCCAGAACAAATGTTTAGCTCCATCACTAACTTGTTACACTACGCTGCACGTTGCGTTTCACAAAATGAAGACGATCGTCCATCAGCAAGGGAAGTGGTTGTGGGAATGGAAAAGTGCTTCGTGGAACGAGTCAGATTCTCCATTTGGAGAAGCGTTCTGAAGTGCATGGTGCGGTTGAGAAAGAAGAGGAAGCTGAGTCAGACACGGATACAGTGTATAGCACAAGAAGAGGGTCAGGTTGACAGTGATACTCGTGTGTCACGTGGGAAGCTATCCATCACCATTAAGGATGTTTTGGCTGATGTTACATTCGAGTAACTCGTTTTCCGAATGAGTTCACTCACTTTGAACCGGTGAGTCATCTAACTCGTTCTGGTCAATGGTCATGCAGTTTAATTTCCCAATTAAAAATGGGGATTTTGTTTTTTGGCCTGCAGGACATGCACTCCAAGCATTCGTACCAAGGCTAAGTTGATGGTACTCAGTAGGCAGAGAATATATAAGCTTTAAGGGATGCCCATCATGAACCCTTTTCTTTTTTCTTTTTTCTTTTTTCTTGTTTAATTTATCTCAGTGGATCACTTGCACCTTAAACTTTTACATTATTTTCATTCTTTACCAATTTTAGAAAATAAAAATAAAAAAGAGACTGTGTTGAAACATGTTCTATTTAATTTACTTTTTTAAATGTGTTACTGATCTTAATTTTAATGTGCTACGGTTCTCCGGCATTGGGATATATTCTTGAGAGTGATGTTGTCTCAGATATATTAATTAATTATACCAAAGCAAGTTTTATCACATCCACATGCAGCTATATATCTTTTTCAACTAGCTGTTTCTTTTATTTGATTGAACAGATTCGAAATTTTCACTTACATCGACTTGTGTTTGTGTTGTAACTTGTAATTTCTAGATGTTAAAAATAATGTTAATCTTTTTTCCCGGGTATGAGAATCTATGACATGATCACATATATTCAATTTCGTGTGAAATCGTCCATAAACGAACAGAGTAACTGCTAAACGCTAGCTATACGAATTAGCATAATTAAAAATAACGCTAAAAGAGCCTGAAGTCATTGAGTAATTATGTAATTCATGCAAAAATATAATAAATGGAAACGAAAGCTTCTCTGAATTTAAATTCTCACGTTAACATTTGGTAGTTTTCTCATTCAGAAAGCGTCACACACAAAGACGCACTAGGCCACGTATCAAGTTAGGGCACTTAACTATTGTGATTTGTGGGGGATAACAACATGTTATAACAATTGTTGGATACAATTATTTTAAGAAAATGGTTTTTCTAAGCCCTTAAATTAGATGTAATGACTATTACTACTTGTTCTCATCTCTTACAATAGTGAGGTGCTCCAATATATGAATAATTTAATTTTGACGTAATTAATTTATTATTATAATGTGATATGATGAAATCATAATATATATTAAAACTTAGATGAACTATAATATCAATTTTAATAATTAAATTAGAGATTAAAAATACTTGTAACAGTACTCATAAATTTGATATACTCTCTAGATCAACCGTTATAGTTTTTCTATTATTTTAAAAATTAGAAAATATTAACATTTTTTGAACTAAATTATTAACTTTACTATTTATTAATATAAAACTCAACAATAGCAATTATTTTACGGAGAAAAAAAAGTAGGAAACACTCTGGGTACAGCAGATTTTACTAAAAGAAAAAGTGGGTCCACGGAGAGGAGAAGGTTATTTGGGCCCAAAACTTTGGATGGGCCAGTATTGAGAAAGCGGTTTGCAAACCCATAAGTTGTATGGTGCTGCAATCCGGTCTAGTCCGGTTCAGTTTCCGGTTTGAGAAAAAACAAGAAATCGACATGAACATGGAAACCCAAAGCTTCTTATCATCCACCTTCCAAAATTCCTTCATCTGTTCTTTAAAACCTCATTGAAAACCTAAAGTTCTTATTTTGTCGCGATGGAGACTCACTTCAATCACACTCTCTTCGATAGGCGACCCTTCCTCAAGTCTAAGGCTCCCGCTGTTAAATGGGTCAAAGAATGGTACTTCCCCTTTCCCTTCTTCAATCATTTTACGCTTTACGATTTTCAATTTTTTATCTTTCTGTTAATTTATTTATCTTTGTCTGCTTTTTCTTTTTGGGGGTCGGGTGGGGGTTAAGATCATGGGAGCTGTTGATTTTTTCAATTTGAGAGAAAGTTTTAAATTTTGAGTGTAGTCGTAGTAGCTGTGCGGTGTAGAATTGGTATTTGTTGGATTTCTGTAGTGAAAGACAATATCCAACAAATGAACGAGTTATCTTGATTGAGAATTTTTCTTCATTCTGTTTGGAATTCTGTAGTAGTATTATAAAACAGTTGGCAATATGTTATGCTAACGATGAGAGCAATGTCTGTCACTACCAGGGTTCCCCAAGATGTTGTAGCAACTGGTGGGAAGTGCATGCTCTTAAGATGGGTGACAGGTTTGTCCTTTTTGCTAGCTACCGAGCATATGTCTTTGTTCACTCATGATCTATTTTGTTCTGCTATTCAGTTTCTGGATAGAGTCGGTTGCATATTTGTTTTAAATAAAAGAAGGAAAATTTAAGTGGCCTATGATTGACCCTCCCCCTCCTGATTACACACCGCAAAATTGAATGAGTTGAATTTAAATCAGCACCTATAATTTCCCCTTAATATTTAGGGCATAGTTTATATTGTATAATTGTTCCCATTGTCCTCTGTAGATGATATTCGTAATTTGATTATGATTCCTAATTATTTCAAATAACTCTCTGCATGTGTAAATTGGGTCCTTACCCTTGTTAAGATAAATTAACGGGATCCTGACCTGGTTATGGTGTCTAATCTGTTTATGATGTTGCATTTCCACTAGGGTTTATAATTTGAAATCTTAAAAGGTTTGCTTGAAGGCATGGCTCTGTTTCTTACTTGCTTACCCATTTATCTTTTGTGACATGCCTGTAATGTTATGTATTTTTTAATATTTGTACTAATTCCAAAAGGAATGAAGTTATAAAGCGTGTAATGAATTGAAGGTTAAGCATGCCTTGCATCCAAGGGACTATTGTATTATTTGTGAGTGTTGTTTTATCATGTGTTCTGTCTAACATTTTTTTTCACTTTCCTTAGAGGATACCATAAAGGCCTTGAAAGAAAAGGAAAAAGAGCCTTCAGCACCGGAGCCAGAACCAGAACCTACTACTGAAGTACTTTTTCTTTGCAGCTATGAAGGCTGTGGAAAGACATTCATAGATGCTGGTGCTTTGAGGAAGCATTCTCACATCCATGGAGAGAGGCAATTTGTTTGCCATTATGAGGGATGTGGAAAGGTAGTGAATTTGTTACTTCAGACACTTAACACACATGCGGTTTATTATGTGTAGGATCAACTCTCCTTAAAATTTAAATTGTTCAGTGGAGGCTTAGGAATGGGATATAAGCATATGCACATTATGTTGTATGGTTGTAACATACGAAGTTCAATAGAGATCCTTAATAGTTTTTCTTTTTTAGTTTTAGAACAATGTTTTTTCATTTGGTAGTGTTTGACACACATACCACTTTAGAATGGTATGTAACAGTTTGTCTTGTGATGTTCTCTGTAATTTCACAGTTCCATCCTTCCTACTAAAGTCAAAATGGACTACTTTTTAACCACATATCCAATTATGTTATATTTTAAAAATCAACCAAGCATAGAATAGAACCCATATATTATGTTCAACCCTGCTCTAGCCCGACCACCAAGTGCTACGTGGCTCAAGTTATAGATATTCATAGATTGCCATTTATTTTAGTGTAAGGTCTATTTAGCAAATGCTAAGAATGTTTTGTTTTTGCTGCAGAAATTTCTGGACAGCTCTAAGTTGAAAAGACATTTCCTCATTCATACAGGGGAGAGAGATTTTGTGTGTCCTCATGAAGGCTGTGGTAAGGTGATAAATCTATCCATTGTAGTAATTTTTTGTGTAATGGTTTCCTCTACAACATTAGTGTTGAATGTTCTGTTAATTGATCTCTGATGGTTGCATGTTTGGATTTTAAATTAGCTTCATGTTTGGCATATTCCATCATGCCCTGAACATCAGTAACAATTAATTCTTTTACTATTTTTTTCTCTCTGAACCTAACTAGTAATCTGTCTTTTCTGCCATTGGAATGATTAAATATTCAAGCAGCCGCTTGGTACTGGGTGAATGACTACCCAACAATGGGTTATTTAACTGCTGATGTAGAGGATGACAAGCAGACTTGGAAATTTACCAGTTTAAAAAAAATATGAATCTTTCATGTTCTGTGAACAGGAGTCTTTCTCAATATGATTCTTCCACTTCACAGCTCTATGAATGAATCTCACATGAAATTAGTTCATGGATCAAGATATATGTGAAGATGTTGACAATTGTGCAGACCTTTTTAGTATTATTGTTAATAGAGCATCTTCAGAAGTCTTAAATATGCCTTCAAGGGGATAGCTTTGATATCTTATTGTATGGAATCATTTTTTATTGTTTTATTAATTGGTGACTAGGATTCTTTAGTGTCAATTTACAGGCCTTCTCCCTGGATTTCAACCTGAGGTCTCACATGAAGACACATTCACAAGAAAACTATCATATATGCCCATACCCAGATTGTGGAAAGAGATATGCTCATGAGTACAAGCTAAAGAATCATATTGCATCTCATCACGAAAAGGTTGGGTAATATTTCCTGTTTCTGTTACTGATACACTTGTTTTATGTTTTGACCACTCAATGTGTTCGAAATAGGTAATGTATCTTGTCTTGTGATGCATAATTGGCCTTTTAATTTCGTGTTTTAACACAATGATTCAATTTTTCTGACAGAATGCATCTGTGGATATGGCAAAGTATACTCCGCCATCAGAGAAGCAAACAAAAGCTACTAAACCTTCTGGAGGAACTTATGGCTCAGCTTCATCTGATCGCCCATATGCATGTCCTTATGAAGGGTGTGAAAAGGCCTACATTCATGAATACAAGCTTAAACTCCATTTAAAGAGGGAGCACCCTGGGCATGATGAAAATGCTGTGCATGCTCTGGCAAATGCTGACAATGAAATGGATGAAGCAAGTGACCAAGATGCCTATGGTGCGAAACGATCAAATGGTAAAAGTCAGAAGCAAAATAAGCCCAAGCCAAACTTGAAGTTGCCTCCTTCCAAAATTTCCCAACGAAAAGGGTCTGTTCCAACTCCTGCCGCTTTAAATGTGATTAAAAAACCTTGGCCTGTTAAAGAAGAAACGTACGATGAAGACAGCGAAGAAACTGAGGAGGATCGTGACAACGTTGAAGATGGTTGGAGATATGCTGGAAACAACGAAGACGATGATGAGGAAACAGAATATGAAGACTGATATTTACTTATTGACATCTTCTCTATGAATGAATATAACCTCATATTTTTAATCTGTTACCAGATTTTTCTTTTTAATTTGCTTCAAAAAATGCCATTATCTTTTCTTGCACAGTATATTGGTTATTGGAAACATGAATGATACCGTAGGAGACGAATTTATTATATTAATAAAAGGGAATTTTACATTCTTTTTTGGTTTCAATATTTTCTGCTGACGCGACAATTGCATGCACTATCTTCCTCTTAGTATCGTAGAAATATTTGATATACTAACATTTTTGTTTTAGGATTTTAAGTATCCCTACGATAACTTAGGATATAGTTTTGTAATATAACTTTTAGCTATTTCTTACGTCGATAGTATAAGAAGTTAATGACAATGTGTTGTTATTGTTGCTTGTATTTTTAGTTCCGCGTTTAAATTTGCCAGGTTTTACGTCACAGTTCGTCGTAATAAGTTTAAAAAGTTACGGTGATTGGGGAATAGCTTTCAGTTTTCAGCATCTATGCTTCACTTTTGTTCAACGTCCCTCTCGTGCAATAAAAGTGAATCTTTAGTATTCGCCTACCGAGCACCGTGACTCTTTGCGGAGGTTAAGAAGTTCGTTTGGGTCAATCTGCCACTATTATAACTGTAGGTTTAAGACATGTGTAACTGTTTTTGTAGCATATTTTACATATAAAAAATTCTAAAACTTTTAACATTTTGCAATGTCAATGTTTGTTTTTTTAATAATTCAAAAGGAGCATTAGGAAGAGGGGATGAAGAAGACTTGCTACTATTGTTCCTGATAACAATTTTAAAATGTCAAAAGTTAATCTAAACTCCTTTGTTATTGTCTCAACTATTTATGGAAATTCCACCTCTTTAATGAGTATGGACATCTTGCCAAAATGTATGGGAATGTATTTCTTTAAGCATGTTTAATTTTCATTTTAAAAACAGTTTTATGTTTTTAAATATAAAATATAATATAAATTTGTACTATATTTTATTTTAAAAACAGTTTAAATATAAAATATAATATAAATTTGTACTATATTTTATTTTAAAAACAGAAAACTGTTTTTAAAAAAGAAATCAAACATATCTTTCTTATTTTCTCAATTTTTTTTACTAGAAATCAAAATTAACAATGAATCAAAACAAAACTAATTCTCAACTACTTCTTTCCTCCTTTTCTAAATAAAAACAATGTATCAAGGTCTAACACATGGAACAATAAAATTTTACATTTCAAATAAAACTGTAATGCTTCCGAAGTTAATATATAAGGAAAAACCAAAAATGGAATACAAGACTAAGATTAAGCATGAATGATCTATCGAAGTAGGAACTCTCGGCCTCTTTCTACTTGAATTCCAGAGACGATTGTAGTTACCCTCATCCTGCAGAACTAACCAGGGTTTATTTAGCTCATTCATTTTGCACACTTTGCACAAGACATATAATATCATCAACAAAAAAGCCAACATCTTATATCAGACAAAATAAAGAAAATCAGCATTGTAACGATAATAACAATTAGACTATCTATAAAAGCTTTCAAAGAATGTAGATATTCCAGAAAAGGTCCTTGACAAAAGTAGCTAATGGTAAATACTCTCATCGTGTTCCTGAGGGAACAGGTAGCAGTTAGATAGGCTACTAAAAAATAATAATGCATCATCCTTCACACATGTACCAAAGCAGTAACTGCTTCCAAGATGTTTTGAATATGAAATACGGATACTTATTGCTTACATCTTGAGGGTTGTCATGTGATAAATCGCAGCAACTTATCATCAAATATGTTTATTCAAAAATAGATGCAGCAGATTGTATCCTAAAAATGCACTTTATAATGCAGTTAATTAACTCGTCAATTTATAGCGTTTCAAACAAACTCTAAAATCTACATCGCAAAAGCAATATCATTCATATTATAAGCAAAAGCAACGTAGAACATACCACAATTGACGAAGAGAAAGTCACTAGACAATATGATTGAGAATAAACCATAACCACGCATTAGGGATAAGGGGAAATTGCCAAGTTATACCACCATTTACATCAAAAGGGAAATAATAATGAAGTTTAATGACACAGGCAACACATTGCATTCTATTTTCTGGTAAGAATACAGTTACAGTCCTTTTTCATCAAACCATGTAAAGAGTGATTTGATGACGGCATAAAAGCAGTAAAAAAAGAAGTTGATCATAATTTGTATAACAATAGACATGCAGAATTTCTTTTACATCGTTAATTGAACAAAAATCTCAAACAAGCCAATCCATTACGCTTGACAAAACATAAATTAAACAGAGCACTCGATTTTATTTTGTTATTCCAATTTTTCCTTTAAATCCCTTGTTCATGTTAAACCCTCAGATCAAATTGTTTAAAGATACCACAAGGTAATACAGCCAACAACTGAACCAATACTTCTTGTTAATCACTGAATCAAATAAGCCATTAGAATTAAAATTTACAAAAATAAATAAATAAATAAAATCACAATCTCCAACTAGACCAGATAAAGAACAGGGATCCAAATAGACAAAACAGGGAATATAGAAAACCACTAGAAACCAAAAAAATGTATAAAAATATAAGCTTACCTAACCAGATCCGACGATGATGTTGTTAATTGGAATGAAGATGAGCTTCACGAAGAAACCGACAAATCCCATGACAACGAAACCAATCGCGGTACGCACGGCAACTTTCGAGAATTCTACAATATCATAGGCATCCGAAAAATTAGATCTAGAGCACAGATATTGGAATCAAGTTATTGTTATAAAAGAGCGAGACCTAAGAGGATTATCGAGTTTAGGGTTTCACCTTTGCGATCGGGTTTGTGGCAGCGCTTCACGAGCCTGACGCTGTCCTTGGCGAATTCTCGGAGCGGATCGAACACAGAATCAATAGCGTCCATTCTCTCTCTCTCTCTCTCTCTCTCTCTCTCTCTCTCTCTCTTGCGCGTTTGGATGAGAATTGGAAGAGATGAATGTTGACTTTTATAAAGACTTGGCTTGTTTAATTTAACGTTTGTGCAATTCGCCAAAAAAGAAAAAGAAAAAGAAATTGAGTTGAGAAATATACGTGTACTGGCCCAATAGCATGCAGCCATGCTGGATCATTCCACGCCGAATTGGAACTCTATCTTGTCCTACAACTCCTAACTTAAATAAAACGTATAAATATAAAAAAAATTTAATTGGAAATTTTTCTTAAAAAAAAAAAACAAATGGTGTTGACATTTTTTAGCTTAAAAATTTTAATAATTAATTGTTGGATATTATTTTAATAATAGTTCTTATATATTTTATTATTTTTATGTCATTTGAAAATTTAAATCTTGATTAAAAATTAAGAAAAGTTAAAATTAATTTAATATAAAAATTATCATAAAATGATAAATAAATAAATAAAAAACGAAACACAATATGTGTGGATTGTCAACAGTTTTGTATTGCATTTGCACTGAAATTGTTTACCTATTTATGTTAGGTGAATGAATCTAATTGTTAATGACAATGTGGAGTATGGACATGGCTTATGGCTCTCATTTTGGACTCAGAATTTCATAATTCCAAAATGATAATTTGTCAATTATGTTCAAGTTAGGGCTGTATTGTACAATTTTTTTTATGACATGTATTAGCAAGATTGGGTCAAGACCCATTTTATTTTTCACATTGTAATGAATAATGTTAAATATAGTTTATGCATTCGATTATAAAAAATATCCAAAAAATTAGAATATAAGTTTAATTTAATCTGCATTCGAAATTTTTATTAGATGTAAATGGGTGAGATACATCGAGCTCGCTAGATTTTTAATCGAGTTGGGTCAGCTCAACAACAAATTGGGGTAAAAACTTTAAAACTCATCCCATGCTTTATAGTAAATTAAACAGACATATCCATTGAATTTAACCCATTTTTACAACCTAGAGAATACATTCATATTTTATCTAATAAAATGGAAGGTAGAATATGTTGTATATCAACAATGCTATTAATCTTGGACTGATCATTGACTAAGTTAAGATTCCAGTCATTTGATTACTGTGTTCAACCATTGAGTTATAAGTTAAATTGATTAAATAAGATATACTTCAAAAATATTTTTACTCTTTATGAAAAATTAAAATAAAATTTTCAAAATTAATAGAGAATGAATGAAAAGGCATACGTGTCCAAATTTAGGGAGCACATCTTATATCAATTTTTGCTGAAGCTCATCATTTTAGGGACAAATGCCCTTTCAAATTGTTAAAATATAATTTTTAAACACTAAAAAATGTATATAATTACAGTAATTGCAAAAATTTCATGCATAAATTATCTGAAAAATAAAAAAGATTTAATATTTATCAATTTTATAATTAAAAAACATATACTCATAAAATGTAAAAGAAATTGTATTTTTTATTTTTAAAATTTATATAGCAGTGCACATAATAAAATTTTATTAAAAGTTATAGAATTTATTACAAATCAATGTATTTACAATATAAAATATTATTTTTTGATAAAATTAAGTAATTATTAATTTTTATTATGTATAAAGCCATCTAATTAATTAAATATCTTTGATGTGATTATCAATATATAATATCTACGCACAGTTAAAAAGAAGGGTAAACCAATTCTTATTGGTGTCAGTTAATTTCTTGTCTTTTCTCCATTATCTCATTCCTTAAATAATAAAGTGAGAGAAAGAAAAAAATTAATAAAATGTTTTATTATTATTAATTAAAATTATATAAAATATAATCTTACATATCCGTTCATCATTATTTGGCCAATTTTGAAATGATACATGGAGAGGACTTAAAAGCTTAACCCAAGAAGCACATTTAGAGGGAAAGCAACCTCAAAGGGCAAATCTATCTCAGATTTCATCAGAAGAAACAGTTTAAGAATTGATAATCCATTATTCTGGATGGCAAGGAAATAGAAAAACATATAAACCGTCACTTCCCAAAAAGCAGTTACTTTGATCCAACTGCTTATGTGAAACTTCACCAATATGTCACTTGAGTAATATGCCGTTCTGTTTGGTTCTTAAAATATACTAAATACAGAGAAGAACTCATATTTCATCCCGTTATTAACCTTTCTTCCCAAAGCTATGTCCATGTTACCACAATGTTTGTCAATAATAATAAAAAGTAAAATTAAACCCTTACATGTTATTTTATTGTTATTTAAATTTTGAATTGGTTTCTTTTATAAGGATACTGATGTCGAGTTGTAGCAGTTATAAACAAGGCAAATCATTTACCCTATCAGTTTGATTAAGGGTAATGTTTGAGGCAGAAACAGATGCAAGTCGAATACCAATGAGCTATCATCAGCATTCTCACCATCGAATAATAATTGATTTATCGTCATATATATTGAGGATTCAAAATATTAAGAATAACTTGAACCACTAATATGTTAAGTTGTTAAGATTCGTCTGTCACGTGCTCATAAAGTTTCCCGCTCTATAGGGTTGAACTGGTCTTAGGTGGTTGCGTTGTTATTTTATTTACGTGCCTATTTTACTGTCTTGCAGTACGGCACTTTCAATTTTACAGTTATTGTAAAGGCTTATATAAGCCACCCCTGTTTATTGAATAAAACATTCTCTCATTGCCTCATTTTGTGTCTTTTATACCTTGAGTTTCTACAATTGGTTTCAGAGCTCCTTCATAAGGGGCCTGGTACAGAGTGTGAGTGTGAATATAGAGTGTTGTGAGAGAACCACAAAACATCCAAGTGTGAGAGTACAGTGTGCGTGAAAAAGGATGTCTACCTTAGATAAGTTCATGCAACCGGCCATACCAAGGTTCGATGGCCATTATGACTTCTGGTCTATGACGATGGAAAACTTCTTACGAAGCAAAGAATTGTGGCAGCTCGTAGAAGACGGCATACCAGTGTTTGGAGCCACAGCCACTGAGGCTCAACGCAAGAGTGTGGCTGAGGCCAATCTAAAGGATCTAAAGGTAAAGAATTACCTATTCCAATCTATTGATCGGGAGATTTTGGAAACCATATTAGACAAAAATACATCGCAGGCAATCTGGCAATCCATGCAGAAGAAGTATCAAGGCTCAACGAGAGTAAAACGTGCTCAGCTTCAAGCACTACGCCGCGAGTTCGAGCTTTTAAGCATGAAAGAAGGGGAGAAAGTAGATACATACCTGGGACGCACTCTCAGTATCGTTAACAAGATGAAATCAAACGGTGAGAAAGCAGATTCTAGCACCGTAGTTAGCAAGATACTCCGATCACTAACCGCAAAATTCAACTACGTGGTGTGTTCCATTGAGGAGTCTAACGACTTAAGTGCCCTCAGCATAGATGAACTTCATGGCAGTTTACTCGTCCATGAACAAAGAATGCAAAGTCTTCAACCATACGAACAGGTATTGAAAATAACTCATGATGATCGATCTGGAACAAGTCGTGGTCGTGGTCACAGTCGTGGAAACAGTCGTGGTCGTGGAAGAGGTCGAGGACGACAACCATTAAACCGAGCACTCATTGAATGCTTTCAATGTCACAAGCTCGGCCACTTTCAGTACGAATGTCCCGAGTTTGAAAAGAAGGCTCACTACGCAACATTTGACGAATCAACAGAAGCAGAAGATGAGCTACTACTAGTAACATATGAGGAGACGACACAATCTGTCCAAGAGGAAGACTGGTTTTTGGATTCCGGCTGCAGCAATCACATGACCGGAAACAAGCTTTGGTTCACAGAAGTGAAAGAAGAGGGATTTAGTCGATCTGTTAAACTCAGAAACAACACAACAATGGCTGTCACTGCGAAAGGTAGCATTCAGGTGCAAATTAATGGCACATCTCATGTCATCACCGATGTTTACTATGTTCCAGAGCTTAAAACCAATCTCTTAAGTCTAGGGCAACTCCAAGAGAAAGGTTTAGCTATCCTATTTCAAAATGATACGTGCAAAATATACCATCCAGATCGAGGACTGATCCTTCACACCAACATGAAAGGCAACCGAATGTTCTATCTGACAGCTTCAATGACTTCTCAACCTCTCAGATGCCTTCAAACTGAGGATGCTACCGACAGGGAAACACAACTGTGGCACAGACGCTTTGGGCATCTTCATTTTAAAGCACTAAACATACTTGCGAATAAGCAAATGGTGATCGGTCTGCCACAAATGAAACTTCCCCAAACACTATGCACTACCTGTCTTGTGGGCAAGCAACACAGAGACATTATACCAAAGCAAAGCTCATGGAGAGCTTCAGCAAAACTTCAATTGATTCATGCCGACGTCTGTGGTCCCATCTCACCTGCCTCACACAGCAACAAAAGGTACATATTAAATTTCATTGATGATTATTCACGTAAAACTTGGGTCTATTTTTTACATGAAAAATCCGAAACTTTCACTGCATTCAAGAGTTTTAAAGCCAGTGTTGAGAAGGAAGCCAACACCCACATCACTTGTCTCAGAACAGATCGGGGTGGTGAATTCACATTCAAGGAGTTTGAGAACTTTTGCACACAACAAGGCATCACTAGGCAATTGACGGCTGCCTACACCCCTCAACAAAACGGTGTTGCGGAACGCAAGAACCGTACCATCATGAACGTTGTACGAGCTGTGCTACACGACAAGCAGGTTCCAAAACCCTTTTGGCCTGAGGCAGTGCGTTGGTGTATACATGTTCAAAACAGAAGTCCCACTTCTGCCAATGATCAGCGAACCCCAGAAGAGATTTGGAGTGGAATCAAACCACGAGTTGATTATTTTAGAACGTTTGGTTGCATTGCTCACGTGCACATTCCAGATCAAAAAAGAAGCAAGCTTGATGACAAAAGCCACCTATGTATTCTGCTGGGCGTAAGTGACGAATCCAAAGCATACAAACTATTCGATCCCATTACAAGGAACGTGATCGTGAGCAGGGACGTGGTGTTTGAAGAAGACAAAAGCTGGAATTGGAACGAAAATGCAAAAAAGAGCAAAACTGATGTTCTGGATTGGGAAAATGAAGCAGTCGCAGTTGACCCAGTCAATAAAAATGCAGAATCTACATCATATGAAATGACAACTAGTAATGACGAAGTACATAGATCAACTTCCAATTCAGAACACATTGACTCCTCAACTGAAGTCCAGGCTCCAAGATCACGAAGACAACCTGCATGGTTGTCTGATTATGAAACCACCTTTTCAGTAGAAGAGGAAAGCTTGCTGGCACTGATGATGACTGAGTCTAAAGATCCCCAATCATTCAAAGAGGCTTGTACAAATCAACAATGGAGAGAGGCTATGAATGCAGAGATGAAGGCAATAGAAAGGAATCATACGTGGGAACTTGTGAATCCGCCAGAGGGGGTAACACCCAGTGGAGTCAAGTGGATTTTCAAGACCAAGTTTAATGAAAGTGGCCACATAGAGAAGTATAAGGCCAGACTAGTGGCCAAAGGCTACGCTCAACGATTTGGAATAGACTATACAGAAGTCTTTGCCCCAGTTGCAAGACTTGACACCGTGAGATTGCTATTAGCTCTAGCTGCTCAAAATGCATGGGAAGTAATGCAACTTGATGTCAAGAGCGCCTTCCTACATGGTGAGCTTAAAGAAGAAGTATATGTCCAACAGCCTGAAGGTTTCATCAAGAAAGAGAAAGAAGATTATATCTACCGTCTCAAGAAAGCACTATATGGGCTTAAACAAGCTCCACGAGCTTGGTATAGCAAGATCGAAGCTTACTTTGCAAAAGAACACTTTGAACGATGCCCTAGTGAACACACCTTGTTCACAAAAAGGATTCACGCTAATATTCTAATTGTCAATCTCAATGTTGACGATTTGATTTTCACCGGCAATAGCAAATACATGTGTGACGAATTTAAGAACTCAATGAAGAAGGAGTTCGATATGACTGACTTAGGCAAAATGAGACATTTCCTTGGAATCGAAGTTATACAAAGTAACACAGGAATCTTCATTTGTCAAAGACAATATGCTCATGATGTACTAGCTCGATTCAACATGACTGAAAGTAACTCGGTGCGAAATCCAATTGTACCAGGCACAATACTCTCCAAAGACATTGAAGGTGCTGCATTCGACGCCACAAAATTCAAACAAGCCGTTGAGAGTCTCATGTATCTAACAGTGACCCGGCCAGATTTAATGTTTGGAGTAAGTTTAATTAGTCGATACATGGCAAACCCAAAAGAGTCACATTGGGCTGCAGCAAAACGACTATTAAGATACCTCAAAGGAACCCTCGAATATGGTCTATTCTATCAAAAGGAAACAAAGACTGGTCTCATAGCTTATAGTGACAGCAATTATGCAGGTGACTTAGATGATAGAAGAAGCACTTCTGGAGCAGTCTTTTTGATTGGAAGTGGAGCAGTTTCGTGGATGTCAAAAAAACAGCCTGTGGTAAGCTTATCTACCACTGAGGCTGAATATATTGCCGCAGCATCTTGTGCCTGTCAGTGTATTTGGATCCAAAGAATTTTAGAGCACCTTGGATCAACAGAAAAGGAAGCAACTGAAATTTTATGTGACAATAGCTCTACCATTCAATTATCAAAAAATCCTGTCTTTCATGGAAGGAGCAAGCATATAGCAGTAAGATTTCATTTTCTAAGAGACTTGGTTAATGATCAAGTAGTTCGATTGACGTACTTCTGCTCCAATGAGCAAGTAGCTGATATAATGACTAAAGCATTAAAGCTTGATCAGTTTGAAAAAATCCGACACATGCTTGGAGTTACAGCAGTCAGTGAAATAAGCTAAAATGCAGTCATTTAGCTTACGGGAGGGAATGTTAAGTTGTTAAGATTCGTCTGTCACGTGCTCATAAAATTTCCCGCTCTATAGGGTTGAACTGATCTTAAGTGGTTGCGTTGTTATTTTATTTACGTGCCTATTTTACTGCCTTGCAGTAAGGCACTTTCAATTTTACAGTTATTGTAAAGGCTTATATAAGCCACCCCTGTTTATTGAATAAAACATTCTCTCGTTGCCTCATTTTGTGTCTTTTTTATACCTTGAGTTTCTACATAATAATAGTACCAATTTGCAAATATAATATGAGAAGGCACAATTTAAAAACTAAAAATGTAGAACAGAGCCTTAGGAGTTCAGTTCACAACAAAACAAAACCTCTTCCACAAAATAAACTGAAACAACAGAATCAGAATCGAAGTTTGGTGAAGAACCACCTGTTCTTGCCGGTCTTGAATCTCTCCTCGAAGCGCTTCTTGGTCTCCTTGAGGGAGGTAACCTTCTTGTCCTTGGAGTGGAGGGCGTCAAGAGTGACCACTTCCTTCAGATCCACGTCCAGGGTGTAGCGCGTGGGCATAAGGTGCTGGTAGTTGACCAGCTTCACGAATGCCTTAACCCTAGATTTCTTGGCCGTCTTCTTGGCAGAGTCCTTCTTGATGACCTTGCTGGGGTACTTCTTTATACCAGCCACCAGGCAGTGACCGTAGGGGCGCTCCCTCGTCCCCTCGTCAAAGGCTCGCACGATCACCGCCTTCCGCCCGGCGTACCGCCCTTGCAGCACGATCACCGCCTTGTTTGGCTTCAGGAACTTCACCATCGTCTAGGGTTCAGGGTTCTTCTCCGATCTGTCCCAAGTCAAATGCCTCATCTAACCCTAACTGCTGTTTTTATATTCAAGACCAAAATCATTTTCTCCAAATGGGTCCATGTCGGCCCATCCAAGTGTCCAAAATAGCCCGTTCAACATGGGCTTATCTTCCTATTTTTTTTCTGTTGTTCAAAATATGCATAATAATTTGGATTGTCCAAGAATAAAAAGCAAGACTCCAATGCATATATCATCAAATAATTGTTTTTTCTTATTTGTTATCAAACATTGACTTTATTTTGAGGGATTATTTTTTTCTTCAATCAAAGCTTCAATTCATATATAATAAAATAAAAAAAATCTAAAGAGTAAAAGTGTTTAATAATATATTAAATAAAAAAATTACAAATTCAAAACATATTGAGAGTAATTATAATTTACAAAAAAATTTAAATCTTTAATATTTTTTAATCATAACTAGTCTAGTAATAGTCTATGCAACGCATCGACAATTTATTTTAGAATAAATATACATGATTTAGTAATTAAAAAATAATTTTTATATTTTTTCAAATAATCATATACTAGTATTTCACCTGTGTAATGCATGAGATTTTGATGAAAAAATAATAATTATTAATGAAAAAAAATTGTATCAACCAATTAAATATTACAAAAATTTATTTAAAATTTTCTTGTAAACAATATTTGTAATTGTGTTTGAAACAATATTTTTTCTATCTCATATTAGAATCTTAAGACTTTTTTTTATTTTTAACTCTAAAGATAGCCATATATAATTGTTCATGACAAAAGAATGGGCTTTGATAAATACAAAATAATATTAGACAAAGTTTAATCTAAGCTTTTATTTATGATCATTACAAAACTTACTTGCAATTAAAAACTGATTCTTACGATGCACATCATCTCTACAAACTTTCTTTTGAATCTTAATTCAATTAACTCTTCCCATGACATTTAAAGGGTATTAAAATAATTATCAATGATTCTACAGAAGTATATGAATATTAAAATTACTAATTGTTACATTATTATATAGAAAAAAAACTTTGTGTTAAGCATAATCAGAAAACACTTAATAAAAAATATGATTTAAGATTTAATTCAAATTATTTGTTATTTTTTATATAAATTATTTTATTGTATTTCTAATTCAAAGATTTTATTATTAATAGAAAGTTTTTCAAAAACAATTATAGGGTATACTATAATAATTAATAAATATTATTATTCTTATTTAAGGTATTTTATTTTATAGCAATTATATTTCTGATTATGCACTATTAAAGTAATTATAAAAAAATATTCGTGTCAAATTAGGAAGCATATTATATAAAATATAATTTAATATTTAATTTAAATTAATTTTTTATTTAAATGATTTTATTATATCTCTAATTTCAAAATTATTTTTATCATTAGAAAGTTTTCAAGAAAAAATACTAAATATTACTTTATAATTTTATTATTTTATAGCAGAATATATGAATATAATCATCAAAGGAATTTTATAATATACTATAATAATAATTTTATATTATTATTATTATTTAAAAAAATATGATTTAATATTTAGTTTAAATTATTTACTGTTATTATAAATTTTTCAAAAAAAATTATAAGATATATTATAATAATTAGTAAATATTATTATTAGTCTTGTTTAAGATATTTTATTTTGATTTTATTTTAGTTCTAATTTTATCTTCGATTATGCATTGTTAGAGCAATTAAAAGAAGAAAAAAAACTCTTGTATTACACTTGATCAAGAAGCACTTAATATAAAATATGATTTAAGATTTATTTCAAATTATTTTGTATTTTTTATTTAAATAATTTTATTGTATCTCTAATTTAAAGATTATTTTATTATTAATTTTTTTTTTAAAAAAAAGACATACTAACTATTACTCTACAATTTCGTAGGACAATTATATTTAATTTTATTGTATCTCTAATTCAAAAATTTTATTATAATTAAAAAAATTTCTAAAAAAAATTATAGGATATACTATAATAATTATGAAATATTAATATTATTGTTTAAGGTATTCTATTTTATAACATTTTTATTTTTAATTATACACTGTTATAATAATTATAGAAAAAAAAACTCTCTTCTGTCAAGCCTAATTAAAAAGTATATAATATAAAAAAAATTATGTTAGATTATTTTATTATATTTCTAATTTAAAATTCTTTTTATCATTAGAAAGTTTTCAAGAAAAAATACTAAATATTATCTTATAATTTTCTTATTTTATAGGAGAATATATGAATATAATTATAAAAGAATTATAGAGTATAATATAATAATAATAATAATTTTATATTATTATTCTTGTTTAATATAAAATATGATTTAATATTTAGTTTAAATTATTTTTTTATTTAAATTATTTTACTATGTCTCTAATTCAAAATTTTTTTTATCATTATACAGTTTTTAAAAAAATATTAAATATTACTACATAATATTTCTCTGCACAATTACTTTAAATCTTATCATATTTTTAATTTGAAGATTTTTTATTATTAGAAAGTTTTCAAAAATAATATAAGGTATAATATAATAATTAGTAAATACTATTATTAGTCTTATTTAAGGTATTATGTTTTGATTTAATTTTAGTTTTGATTTTCTCTCTGATTATGCAATTATAGAAAAAAACTATTGTGTTAAATCTTATTATGAATCTTATAATATAAAATATAATTTAATATTAAATTTAAATTATTTATTATTATAAATTTTTTTTAAAAAAATATTAATTATATTCTATAATTTCGTTAAATAATTATTTTTTATTTTATTATATCTCTAAATAAAAAAAAATATTATTAAAAAATTTCAATTAGTAATTAGAGAAATTAATGTAATTAAACCAATTTACTCATTTACTACTAATAAAATAAAAAATAAAAAATATTGTATAATTTATTATATTTGTTGTTTTAAAAAAATCTTTAAAAAAAAACTTTCTTGTACAACATGTACAGAGGTAGATTAGATTTAGTATATTATATAGATATATAGATATAGCAAAATTATTTAAAATAATCAATTTTAAAAAATATTTTAACATAATTTTATCACTATAAATAGTATACATCAAAATAATAGTAAATGTTTTATAAAATTAAATGCTTTTAAAAAATATATTTAAAATATAATAATTGATAAATATTTGTATAAATAAATTTATATGTAATATATAATTACATATTTTAAAATGAAATTGTCATTTTATTTATTAATTTATATATAATATAAAATAAATACACAATTTATTTCATCATAATATATATTATCTTATCTTATATTATTATTACAGTGTGGTTAACATATATTATATTTTTTACATTACTTAATGTTATATTAAACTTACAATTGATTTAATAAGAATTTTTTTTATCATATTAGTTCTTATTATTTTTATAAATTTAAAAAAATGATAATTTTTTATAATTAAACTTAATCAATTATCATTATCTTCTAAATAATTTTTATAAATATCACTAATTTCAAATTTAATAGCAATAATTATTTAATTTTTTTATATTTATTGGACTTTTTTTATAAATTATGATAATTTTTATGAATTAAATATCGATTAATTGTTTTTATTTTTTATAAATTTTAGTAAATGTAAATTTTTTATATATATATTAACATTTTACTTTTTAACATGGTTTTATATATGATTAAATATTTTTAATTAAATTTTTTAAAAATTTAAAAATAAATATGAATAATTAAATTATTATTTTATATAATTTTAATTAATAAAAATATTATTGAATTTTTTTCTTCTTCTTATATTTCATTTAAGAAACGAGATAATAAAAAAATAAAATAAATTAACTGACATTAATATGTGTCATCAATCATTTACAGTAAATAATTGTCGATAAGGACTTTGCTTGGAAAAGACCTGATTGGAAGACACCATATCTGCTTCGGTATTTTTTTTTTTTTTGTTTTAAAAATGAATTATTCTTTGATTATCAGTTAAAGGATGGGAAGGCAGAGTGTAATCCCCTTAATTTCTCATTTGGAATATATATAGTTAAATATTATAATTTTTAATAAAATTAATTATTTATTAGATTTTTTATTATGTACAATATCGCACAAATTAAAAATTTTATAATAATTATTCTTAATATAAAGCCATAACTTTAATTAAATACTTTTAATTAATGTGATTATCAATATATAATATTTGGGCATTAAAACAATCAAATTTACAGTTAAAAAGGGTAAATGATTAAAGACATATATTAATGTCAGTTAATTTATTTTATTTTTTTATTATCTCATTTCTTAAATAAAAAAATTCAATAATTTTTTTATTAATTAAAATTATATAAAATACAAATTTAATTATTCATATTTACTTTTAAATTTTTAACAAATTTAATTAAAAATATTTAATCATATATAAAACCATGTTAAAAAGTAAAATTTTAGTGTATATATATATATATATATAAACATTTACATTTATTAAAATTTATAAAAAATAAAGACAATTAATAGATATTTAATTCATAAAAATTATCACAATTTATAAAAAAATATAATTAATATAAAAAATTAAATAATTATTGCTATTAAATGCAATTATTGACATTTATAAAAATTATTTGGAAGATAATGATAATTGATTAAGTTTAACTATAAAAAATTATCAAAAAATTTTAAAATTTATAAAAATAATAAGAACTAATATGATAAAAAAAATATTTCTTATTAAATCAATTATAACTTTAATATAACGTTAAGTAATGTAAAAAATAAATTGTGTATTTATTTTATATTATATAAATTAATAAATAAAATAATAATTTAATTTTAAAATATGTAATTTCAAATTTGTAAAAAAATATAACAAAACTCTTATGTTTAAATAGTTAAACTATAATGAGAATTCATAAAGTCTATGTTTTGAGTTGATTCTTATGTTTTTATAGAAATTTTTAAATTATATTTTAATATCATGTTCACATTATATTTA